AAGATAGCATGACACTGCTTTAGATGTCGTTAAGACTGCATCTCCCAACAGCTCAAGCCAGTACATGGTGAAGGATGCTAGGAAGTGCTACTCAACATCTACAGCAGACCCATGCTTTGCCCATTCGTGCATTAAGCCATTTTTGGTTCAGCCTGGATGTTTTGTTGAAGCAACTCAGATTAAAAACGGGATCTCATCCACTTTTTCTATTTTTTATTCCTTACTAATGGCATCTGCTCCAGATCAGGAAGAAACTTCTCCAGGACTAATGTTGGGAGCACCTTGGCTAAGCTTTGTTGAAATCCAAGCTGAGGCCATGTTTAATCAATGTTTACATGTTACTTTTTTGGACTTCAAACTCTCAGAATCTTCCAGATAGCATGATCAGTGGGTTATAGCTAAACATTCATTTTCCTCCTTTCCATTCCTTTCTCCTTTTCTTCGGTATTCTGAACTCCTTAAAATTCCCACAACTGTTATTTTTCCATTTCTTACGTCCTGGAAAAAAAACCCAACTAAAATCTCTGTTTTGTATCTGTTCTTCTTGAGAGCACACACATGACTCTTGCCTCCTGTGTCTCTGTTTGAACAACTGAAAGGGCTAGAAATGCTGTTATTGCATTTTAAAAAACAAAAACCTTCCTTTTTCTTTGGTGGCATATTTAAGCACTAAAGAATACAGACACAAGACAAAGGAATAGTTAACTATGGACTGAATCATCATTCAGTGGCTTTGTGTTATGACTGGGGCACTTCCTTTGGATACCTCTGTGTCTAAGTAAACCCCAGTAGTTTTTCTAAATCTGTCATTGCTTATAATTCTTTTAAAAATGTATATATGGTGCAAGAAAGCCCAATCCTGGCTCTACTGTCATCTTCTTTTGACTACGTTGCTTGCTTTCTTTCTAGTGACATTCTTGAGGTCTTCCCATCCACCTCCCTGCATCTTCTCTTTTTTTTTACTGGCATGTTTATTTAAAAAGTAAATTCTTCAGTGTCTATTTTTTGTCTGTGATAGAAAAAGTGTCTTGGAAGTGTTGTTCTCTTAAGTGGTGCCACATTTTAGAAGAAAGTGATTTATTTTAGAGGGTTTTTTTAAAAAAAATCATTTTATTTCTGTAGTGAAGATTTGTTTGGTAGATTGTTTCCCTGCCCTTTGTTAGAGAAGCCCTCTTTAGTTGTTCCTGGCCAAACTTTGGCGAGAATAAAACATGGCTCAAAGGTTTTTGTTTCAAATTTATTTATTTATTTTCTACAATCTTCCCTTAGAATTCTTCTATTACCAGTATTTATTTATAAGAATATAATTGCAGAACTTGATGATCAGAAGGTTGGTGGGGTGAGCTCCCATAGTTAGCCCCAGCTTCTGCCAACCTAGCAGTTAAAAAAGATGCAAATGTGAGCAGATCAATAGGTACCGCTTCTCCGGGAAGGTAACAGCATTCCATACGATAATGCTGGCCATGTGACCTAGTTGATGTCTATGGAGAACACCGTCTCTTCAGCTTAGAAATGGAGATGAGCACCATCACCCAGACTCAACTAGACTTAATGGCAAGGGGAAACCTTTACCTTTACTAGTCCAGAGGGCACTATATCTGAATCTGGCCAATACAAAGCTCTGAGACCCTTGCTAGTTAAAAAATCAGCTATCATAACCAGCCCACGACACTTGACGGATTAATTTTTGTGGAGTTCATTAATATATTATCTTGGAATTTCTAATTCCTCAATGGTCAACGTCTACTGGAAGTTTACCACATAGTTGAGAAAGGAGGACATAGAGATTTCTAGAGATATAAAGAGCTACCAGATCCCTTCATTTGCATCAGATCAGCAGTTCTCAACCTGTGGGCCCCCAAGTGTTTTGGCCTACAACTCCCAGAAATCCAGCCAGTTTACCAGCTGTTAGGATTTCTGGGAGTTAAAGACCAAAACATTTGGAGACCCACAGGTTGAGACCCACTGGATTAGATGGTAAAGGTGCACTCCTATATACATCTCAGAATAAAGCTCAATGGAATAAGCTCAATGGAACATCATTCTAAGCAAATGTTGGGTTGTACCAAGAGCCAGCAAGATGTGTAATGGTTTGAGCATTGGGCTATGATGTTTGAGATCAGGATTTGAATTTCTGCTCAGCCATGAAAACCCACTGGGATATATTGGCTAAGTCACACTCTCTCAGCCTCAGAAGAAGGCAAAGGCAAACCCTCTCTGAAAAAAAACTTGCCTAAAAACCCTGGTGCCATAGGGTCACCATTCAAAAGCCCACAACAATCATTTTAGTTCTGCAAAAACAGGATTTCAACTCGTCCCATATGTGAAGTATTGGAAAAGATTCAGAATGACAGAGACTGAGAGGTTTTCATATCATCCTTAGCCCCGATTTGAGACTCTAGGAATTATTGCTCAACTTGAAGTGACAACCATATTAGCCCCCCTTTTCAAATAGTAGCTTGCTGATGCCAATGGTCAGAGTAGTTGAGATAAAGGATGAACCTTGCTGAACTTTTGGGAAGACTTAGATTGTTCTGAACAGAAAAATAAATATGAAAGAAGCCAAAACTTTGTTCCAGTCTCTTTTTATCTGTTTCTACCTCTCCAACTGTTCGTTTGACATGATAGTTGCCTCATTTTCTCCTGTTCCGTGTTTACATTTTTGTCCCTCCCCCTCCTTTGAACAGTACACTGTTTATACTTTTAGGAAGTGTTTGTATAAGGAAGTGTTTTTTTTTTTTAATACCCAAAGATTGCTGTACATTTCCCCAGTTGTTCCTGTTAATGCCCTTATAGCTTTTTCTGGAATAGGCTCCTTTTGTTGCATTTCTGTTAACTTATATTAAATTTCAAAGGAAAAAAACTCAAAAATGCTGTTTTCTGTCTTTTGTCCTTTTTCATTTTGTTTTGTTTTGCAAGGTGCTATTTCATGATGGCTTAAGATCAATTTAGCAATGAATTTCCAAACATATCACAGTCCAATCATTTTTTAAAAGCTAAGTAGTATTGTCTTCCCCAGTGATTTGTGCTATCTCATTATATGTCCAAAGTTCCCACTCTCAGTTTAGTCATCTTTGCTTCTAGTTAGAGTCCAGATATGATTTCCTCTAAAAATCCACTCATTTGTCTTTTACTTCTCTGTAGCACCAACTTGCAAATGAACTGACTTTCTAGCAGTTTTCTGATAGGCAAGCCAGCATAGTGTTTGAGTATCGGATTATGACCAGGGCTTGAATCCCTACTCACCCATTGAAATCAAATGTCTAACCATGGACAAGTCACACTGTCTCAGACCCTTACGTTGCCATATAATCCAGATTATCAAATCAGATAATCTGGGTTTTATTTGACAGTGTAGATTGGGCCTCAGTAGAGGGCAACCTTCCTCTGAGCAAATCATGCCAAGAAAGCCCTGTGATAGGTTTGCCTTAGGGCCCTTCTACACTGACTGCCATATAATCCATATTTCAAAGCAGATAATCTGGATTTTCCATTTTGATATCTGGATTATATGACCGTGTAGAAGGGGCCTATCTACTTCATCACACTAGAGCAGGGGTTCTCAAACTAAGGCCCAAGGGCCGGATACAGCCCTCCAAGGTCATTTACCCGGCCCTTGCTCAGGGTCAACCTAAGTCTGAAACGAAAGAACACAACAACAATCCTATCTCATCAGCCAAAAGCAGGCCCACACTTCCTATTGAAATGCTAATAAGTTTGTTGTTCATTTGTTCAGTCGTTTCCGACTCTTCGTGACCGCATGGACCAGCCCACGCCAGAGCTCCCTGTCAGCCGTCACCACCCTCAGCTCCTTCAGAGTCAAGCCAGTCACTTCAAGGATGCCATCCATCCATCTTGCCCTTGGTCGGACCCTCTTCCTTTTTCCTTCCATTTTCCCCAGCATCATTGTCTTCTCTAAGCTCTTCTGTCTTCTCATGATGTGGCCAAAGTACTTTATCTTTGCCTCTAATATCCTTACCTTCAATGAGCCCTCTTCCTTTTTCCTTCCATTTTCCCTAGCATTATTGTCTTCTCCAAGCTTTCCTGTCTCCTCATGATGTGGCCAAAGTACTTCAACTTTGTCTCTAATATCCTTCCCTCCAATGAGCAGTCGGGCTTTATTTCCTGAAGTATGGACTGGTTGGATCTTTTCACAGTCCAAAGCACTCTCAGAACTTTCCTCCAACACCACAGTTCAAAAGCATCTATCTTCCTTCGCTCAGCCTTCCCTATAGTCCAGCTCTCACATCAGTAGGTGACTACAGGAAATACCATTGCTTTAACTATGCGGATCTTCGTTGCCCGTGTGATGTCTCTACTTTTCACTATTTTATCAAGATTGGACATTTCTCTCCTCCCAAGAAGTAAGCGTCTCCTGATTTCCTGGCTGCAGTCTGCGTCTGCAGTAATCTTTGCACCTAGAAATACAAAGTCTGTCACTGCCTCCACGTTTTCTCCCTCGATTTCCCAGTTGTCAATCATTCTTGTTGCCATAATAGGTTTATATTTGTTAAAATTGTTCTTTATTTTAATTATTGTATTGTTTTAATGTGTTTTTCTGCACTACAAATAAGATATGTGCAGTGTTAATAGTAATTCATTCATGCTTTTTTCCAATTATAATCCGGCCCTCCAACAGTTTGAGGGTCTGTGACCTGGCCCTCTGTTTAAAACGTTTGAGGACCCCCACACTAGAGAATGAATCCACTTAGGCAGGTTAGAAATTGCTACTATGTATCCATTTTACAAATCCAAAAGCTTGCGCACTTATGTAGCAGTTACAATCCTGGCTGTCAAACTGTGTTGAATTTTTTTTTTTTAAAAAAAGGAGACAACCAACATAGATCTGCAAATACATCGGCACAATGCATGTGAACAAGCAGATTTGTATCTTATGTAAAACAGAGCTAACAAGCAGTGAAAGAGTTAATACTGTGCCATAAAACACCCGCCTCCTGCCTCCACATTGGCTCAAACTAGTCAGGAAATGAACCTCAGCTGTTTTTATTCAGCACAGGAGTTGTCAGTCTCTACTCACGCGTCTCAGTCCAAAGGATCAAGAGTACAGAAAAATAGGAGAGTGATGGTAAGTTGGAGCTAGTGTGTGTATGTTTGTTATGTGGAGTTGGACTATACGATCTCTTTAGTTGTGTTCTGTTATTGTTGTTGCACAGATACAATAGCGACTCCCTCTTTTCTGCTCAGCACTCACAGTTGGGTGGTGGTTGGGACCTTTGTTGTAATGCATCTACACTGTTGAATTAATGCAATTTGACACCATTTTAACTGCCATGGCTAAGTGCTATGGAATCTTGGTGGTAGTTTTACAAGGTCTTTAGCCTTTTCTATCAAAGAGAACTGGTGCCTTACCAACTTATTACTTCCAATTTTTTTTGGTCGAGTCAGGAGTGACTTGAGAAACTGCAAGTCGCTTCTGGTGTGTGAGAATTGGCAGTCTGCAAGGACGTTGCCCAGGGGATGCCTGGATGATTTGATGTTTTTTATCATCCTTGTGGGAGGCTTCTCTCATGTCCCCGCATGAGGAGCTGGAGCTGATAGAGGGAGCTCATCCGCCTCTCCCCGGATTCAAACCTGCGACCTGTCGGTCTTCAGTCCTGCTGGTCTTAGTCCTTCCAGCACAGGGGTTTAACCCACTGCGCCACCGGGGGCTCCTATTACTTCCATAATGCCATAGCATTGAGCCATGACAGTTAAAGCGGTGTCAAACTGCATTAATCCAACAGTGTACACTGTAGAACTGAAACAAACTACATCCCAATTAAATAATTGTTTTGCTTTATATAAATAATTTCTCCTCCTCCTCCACTCCTTTTTGCTATTTACAGAATTGTGTAATTATAGTACTACATGCCTAAAGCCTTTTATCCCACAATAACTTGGAATTTGTAGTTTGGGTAGGTAAGTTAGAACTCTCTGCTGTAGTTCAGGAAAGTATTGGGGCCTTTCCACACAGCCATATAACCCGGAATATCAAGGCTGATAATCCACAATATCTGGAACAGGGCTTGGGAAATTTTTCAATTATTTATTTATTCATTTTTGGGCTACTTTCCCCCAGATTCACAGAGTAGACAAAACTGAGCCAGACAAAGGCAAGTTAATCATAAGATCTGTTGTCCCAGAGCCAAGTAGAGAAAAGATCAAGGTGTGTATAAGTCATGCTCTCAGATGATGGCCTGGGCATAGAACAAAGAGCAAGGAAATGTACTTGTTGCCAAGTAGGACAGATAAAGATGGCAAAAGTCCTCAATTGTGTCCTTCATGAAGAAATATCAATTTTATGGCATTCCAGATAGGTTTGGCAGTGTGGGCAGCTCAGGATGAACCCATCCTATGCCAGAGCCTATCCCTTCTCGTGCCAGGGGGAAGGAGTAACTTTTTTGGAGACACTTGTATCATCTACATTTTCATGCATTCTGTAGCTAGCAAAAGTGCTACCAATACTTAAGGAGGGTTGGGGAAGAGAGGAGTGTAGAATTATTTTTCCCAGGAGCATTTCTATCTTCATATCATCATAGCACCAAAACTAAAGCAAGTCGCTTCATTTATTTATTTATTTATTTATTTATCGCACTTCTAACACGCCCTTCTCAACCCCCGAGGGGGGACTCAGGGCGGCTTACAACAGCCACAATTCGATGCCAGCACAACAATAAGATAAAAAATAAAACATATATAAACAGTAATTAAAACAATGAAAACAATCTATTATACATCATAATCCATAAAACCAATCTAGTGTTCAACGTTTGCCAGCTCAGAGTCCGTAAATTCAATTCCACATTGTCAAATCCATCAATTCTAGTCGTCGCTTGTCCTTTGTCTATCTGCCAGATTACCCAAAAGCCTGGTCCCAAATCCATGTTTTTAATTTCCTTCTAAAAGAGAGGAGGGATGTCGAACCTAATTTCCCCAGGGAGTGAATTCCACAGGTGAGGGGCCACCACCGAGAAGGCCCTGCTCCTCGTCCCTACCAAACCTCACTTGTGATAGAGGTGGGGCCGAGAGCAGGGCCTCCCCAGAAGATCTTAAACTCCGAGGCAGGACATAGAAGGAGATGCGTTCGGACAGATACGCTGGGCCGGAACATTGTGAAGACATCTGCCCATGCGCTTTGCTACTCTGCTGCTGAATACGCATGCCCAGTGAACACATCTCACCACATTAAAACAGTGAGTATGGCGCCTAATGGCATCATCACACTAGAAAAACCCCCCACTTAAAATCCAGTTTCTGTCTCCTGTGGAATTCTAGGGTTTGTAGTTTATGGAGGAGCCTTCAACAGCCTCACTAAATTACAAACCCCAGAATTCTGCAGGAGGCAGAAACCGGATTTTCAGTGGATTTTTTTCTCTGTGTGATAATGAGACATGCTGCATTAACACAGGATGCTTACGCCCCACACCACTGGAGAAATTATACTGTTTAGCCAGTATTGCACCACCTGACATCCACCAGGAAGTAGCAGCCAACAATGGCAAGATCAAGGCAGTGACATCTTTGCCCCATCCTCTTCTCAGATATCAGCCACTACACCAGTGTCTTAAATAAAGAAATAGCTTTCTAAGATCTACAGAGTTACTCACAGGAATGCCTCGGCAAGCGAGAGTCCAAAAGTGGCAGGCTAAATTCTGGAACCTCAATCCATACTGGATGAGAGACTCCCTCCTGGGCACACAGAAGACTGGGCAACTTGGAAGGTGCTAAACAGACTCTGCTTTGTCACCACAAGATGCACAACTAATCTTAAGAAATGGGACCACAAAGTGGAGTCCTTGACATGCAAGTGTGGAGAAGAGCAAACCACAGACCACCTATTATAATGCAGTTTAAGCCCTGCCACATGCACAATGGAGGACCTTTTTATAGCAACACCAGAGGCACTCCAAGTGGCCAGCTTCTGGTCAAAGGACATTTATTATAACGTGAAGTCTTTAAACCTTCTTTGCATTTTTAAATACATTACAACTATACCCTCGGTTCACTTCTGGCATGACAAATAAATACCAAAAATGAACAAATAGACAAACAGCAACAACAATATCCTGTGTGTATATGTGTGTAGCAAAAGAAACAACAGGAAAAGGAGGATGGAGTCCCGTTACTGTGTCCTTGGAGCATTTATTTATAAATGCAAAACCCTGATCTTCTCGCTCACCCTACTCTGGGGAACATCTATACTGTAGAATGAATGCAGTTTGACAACACTTTAGCTGTCCTGGCTCAGTGGTATTAAATCATGGAGTCAGAGTTTTATAAGATCTTTGCCTTCTCTGTCAAAGCGTGTTTGTGCCTCACCAAACTACAATTCCTATAATTCCAAAGCATTGAGCTGCGGCAGTTGATATGGTGACAATCTGCATTTGTTTGACAGTGTAGATGCACTCTATGTTGCACCCATGAGCTCAGCCCTCTCCTGAAAGTAGATTCCAGTGCACTGCTGGATTTAAGCTGTACCAGCATGACACAATTACAACAGTTTGGCTCCAGTTTGACTGCTGTGGCTCCATCCTACAAAATCTTGGGATTCATAGTTTGAGAAGGTACTGCTAACTAAAGAGATCTGGTCTGATGCTTCACACTGCAGCATTCATGTTCTCTTGCTGAGAATTCCTAAGTATTCTATGAATTGCAAATTCCAGGAAGGTAATGCTCCTGAAGAGGAGGATAAATTGAGTTTCCCAGTTGTCCACTTCAACATTTGGTAGCATTTCCCCTTCCTCTCAGCCCTGTTCTCTGGCTGCAGAGCAAAGGAAACTTGAAGGTGGCATGCTGAGTTGGGGACACCACCTTTGATGCTCTGCCCTTGGTCATGCCACTCACCACTATCTTCTGCAACATCCACTCCCCACCTAGACAAAGGTCTCTGCCCTTTGAAATTGTTTTGGCACAAAGATGTACATTTTAGGAGTTATGGAATTATGCAAGCCTCTTTTCTCCTAGTTGGCACGATGCCCTACTGATATTGCATGGTATATAATCTTGACATGTTTGCTCGTGCCTCACAGTCTGGCAAACACTGAACTTCTCATCTGTTCTTCTTTCTCTCCCTGGCATACAGAGCTACTGACAGTCATGCTGTCGTTTCTACTGTTCCTGCTCTTGTTCCTGCTGCTTGTGATCTTTGGTTTTGTTTACTTCTATTTTATCCATGGCACAGGGGAGAACCCCTTTCGCCAGCTGATTTTGCACTCCCCAAAGCCAATAGTCACCGATGTGGAAGCTCGGAAAAAGGTCCTCAAGAAAGGTAAGTGAACTTCGGTGGAAGTGAAGTGTTTTGGATTGGATTGGAGTGTGGCATTTCCCCTTGACATAGAATCATAAAGTTGGGGGAGACCACAAGTGCTATCAGTCCACCTGCCTGCCACGCAGGAACACACAATCAAAGCATTCCCAACAGATGGCTATCCAGCTTCCAGAGAAGGAGACTCCACCATATTCCAAGGCAGCATATTCCACTCCTAATATTAGGAAGTTGTTCCTAATATTCAGGTGGAATTTCTTTTCCTGCTGTTTCAATCCATGGCTGCATGTCCTAGTCAGTAGAAGAATAGAAAACAAGTCATCTCCCTCCGCAGTATGACATCCTTTTAAATATTTAAGCATAGCTATCACGTCTCCTCTTCTCCAACCTAAAATTACCCAGCTTCCCAAGCTGCTTCTGATAGGGCTTGGCTTTCAGACCTTTTATCATTTTGGTTGTCCTCATCCTGACACATCTCAGCTTATCAATATTTTTCCTGAACTTTGGTTCTCAGATTTGACACAATTTTTCAAGTGAGGTCTGTCCAAAACATGGTAAATATAACTAGATGTGTGCCATGTGGTTTGGTCCCCGTGCTGTCTTTCTTGGACAGACAAAACCTTTGTAGTAGCTATGTGTTCCCTCCCACACTTTGACTTTTAGTGTCAGGAAACAAGAAACAGGGCAGAGTTTTATAGACAGAAGATTATTGTTGTTGCCTTTTCCTTTCCTCTGTGGCTCAGAGGATGTGATTTGCCTAAGGTCACCCAGAGGGTTTCCATGGCTGAACAGTGATTTGTGCCCCTCCATTTTTATGTCAGGCATGACTGCAAATCACTTCTGGTGTGAGGGAATTGGCCGTCTGCAAGAACGTTGCCCAGGGGGCAGCCAGGTGTTTGATGTTTTACCATCCTTGTGGTAGGCTTCTCTCAAGTCCCCACATGGGGAGCTGGAGCTGGCAAAGGGAGCCCCACCTGCTCTCCTCAGATTCAAACCGTTGACCTGTTGGTCAACAATGCTGCCAGCACAAGGATTTAATTCATTGCCCCACTGGGCGCTCCTCCTTTGTGCCATAATCACAGTCCCACACTCAACCACATTGCTGATTTGTTCACTGGCACTTAATAGCAAGTGTGATTTCAGTGTAAATGAATCAAAAAGTCTCAGGTTCAGTTCTGAATTTGAGCCCCATCTGCACATTATTTGGCTTGGAATCAGCATTTTTTATGCCAGTTTGAGGCACGTTACATATGCATGTGGAAACACCATTGGACACACACTCAACGAGCATCTTTAGCAAGCTATTAATTTCAAGTGCTGCTATCAGCTTTTTCTTTACTAAGGTATATTTACACAATTGAATGAATGCATCCAGTGTCAAAGACTGGTGAGAGTGTCACTATCCAGACATTATTGATTTACAGTCTGCACAAAGTACCATATATACACCACAACACTTGTGGTTATTTATTCCTTTGAACTTTTCTTCCACTAATGTAGTCATGTTGGACAATGCACTGTTATGATTTATGGGCCTGACCTGTTCTTTGATAAGCAATGTTTATTTTGAAAGACACAGTGACCTTCGAAGTATATGGCTGCACAAATGTGCTTAGCAATAGATGTGCCACAAAAACAATTAGCAGCACTGATAAAGCTCAGTGTTTACAACTGTTTTCCTTTGTGGCTTATGTTGGGCTTTGATAAAATACCTGCTTTATTTCAAAATTTCACAAGAAGCTATATTTGAGTATAGGGTAGGACTGAAATATCAGCCCTACAATATCTTCCCAGATGAGTCCAGAAACTGAGTAGCAAAGCAAAAAGACAACAAACAATAGCTTTGTGTTGTTGAAGGCTTTCATGGCCAGAATCACTGGGTTGCTGTGAGTTTTCCAGGCTGTATGGCCATGTTCCAGAAAAGCATTCTCTCCTGATGTTTCATCCACATCTATGGCAGGCATTCTCATCCTCACAACCTCTGAGGATGCCTGCCATAGATGTGGGTGAAACTTCAGGAGAGAATGCTTCTGGAACATGGTCAAACAGCCTGGAAAATTCAAAGCAATCAACAATAGCTTTGGCCGAAGGAACTACGAGACACAGTACCAAAAGCACTAGCTGAGATAGTTCCACTTTATTTTAAGCATCACTATTTTATAGGACTTCAGAGCTACAACAAAATAGATAACATGCTCATGAGCAATATGTAGTGCATGCATGGACTCAAATGGGTTGTATTTTTCCCTAGGAATTTTAACACTAATTCCTGGGATTCTAGACTGTTTCCTTTTGCCTGCTTTGAATGTATTGAGTTTCATGTGACACTGGTTTTCCTCCTATACAAAAAATACCTTGTGTCTGATATTCTTTCCTTCTTCTCTTCAGGTTTTTCTGTGGATAAAGTGCCCTCCAACTTAGATGCGGTTGTTATTGGAAGTGGCATCGGAGGTCTATCTGTGGCAGTTGTTTTGGCCAAGGCAGGAAAACGGGTGTTGGTATTGGAGCAGCACAGCAAGGCCGGAGGATGTTGTCACACCTACACTAAGAAGGGCTTTGAATTTGATGTCGGTAAGAGACAAAATTTGACACGCATTACCTCCCAAATGGAGAAGAACTGCCCAACTGCTTCATTAGGTTCTCTGACAGCAGAAGCATTGAATAATGGTGATTGTTTCAATACTATTTGCTTCAGCAACTAAATTGTTGCAAAACAACAGCTTGGTGCAATAAAGTCTGTTGCTATCAGCTACTGAAGTGAAATTGTAGTGCTATAATTATGTACAGTCTGAACCTATAAGGATTTGGAATCAAGCTTTGTTACCCATTAGCCTATGCACTTCTCTAGTGTTCTGACACATTGGTCAGTCCAAATGACATTACTGATATTAATAGATGTCAAAAAGCATGATACGAGACAAGATATATTAAGAAATAGAACAGCAAACATTTTAAAATCTAGATTTCATTTGGAATGTTTCAGAAAACATCTTTTCTTTCCTCATGTTTTTCTTTCCTCCCCATCAAAGAGGGAAAATTTTAAGATTATTTTTCCAATGAATATGCTCTGCTATAAAGATCCGCCTAGTCAAAGCCATGGTATTCCCTGTAGTAACCTACGGATGTGAGAGCTGGACCTTAGGGAAGGCTGAGTGAAGGAAGATAGATGCTTTTGAGCTGTGGTGCTGGAGGAAAGTGCTGAGAGTGCCTTGGACTGCGAGAACATCCAACCAGTCCATCCTCCAGGAAATAAAGCCCGACTGCTCACTGGAGGGAAGGATACTAGAGACAAAGTTGAAGTACTTTGGCCACATTATGAGGATACAGCAAAGCCTGGAGAAGACAGTTATGCTGGGGAAGGTGGAAGGTAAAAGGAAGAGGGGCCGACCAAGGGCAAGATGGATGGATGGCATCCTTGAAGTGACGGGACTGACCTTGAAGGAGCTGGGGGTGGTGACGGCCGACAGGGAGCTCTGGCATGGGCTGGTCCATGAGGTCACGAAGAGTCGGAGACGACTGAACGAATGAACAACAACATGCTCTGCTATTTTTAGGGGTTCATTCCCATAGTGAACAAAAACATTTCAAGCTTCATGGAGAATATGTGATGGTGGCCAAGGAGGAGTTGGCCTTCTTATGCTCTTAAATTCCCTTATGAGAAAGGCTAGACTGATGCAAAAAATGCAGTGCCAAACAGATTTTTTTTCATTGAGGTATTTCATCCATAAGTCCACTTAACATAAGTCCACTTGCTTCCTTTCATAAAATGTTCCATCTTTTTCTGTCTCTGTGTTCTCACGGCTCTTAGGCATCCACTATGTTGGAGAAGTTCATGAGAACAGCTTCTCACGGATGATCATAGACCAACTGACTGATGGTCACCTAGATTGGGTTCGATTAGAAGATCCATATGATTTTATCACCTTGGGAGACAAGGAATATGAACTCTACTCTGGGAAGGAAACCTTTATGAAGGAGTTGGAGAGGCAGTTCCCAGGGGAGAGAAAAGCCATCAAAGAGTTCATGAGGCTATCAGAGGTGAGATAGAATGCCAAAGAATTTTAATTAACCGGGACACCATATCAGGCCTTGATAGAGGGATTTTAATTGTGTACAGTCCAACCACTGTATCCATGGGGGATGCATTCCTGAACTTACTGTGGAACAGAAAACCCTGGATAGTAGTGAACCCTATTGAAATAAACAACCTCTTCCAAAAGTGACCATGGAGTCAACTGGAGGACTTAGAAAATTCCTAGTGAGGACATATTTTGTCTGATGGAGGGTACTAGGCATGGGCAATCCATGGTTCTAAATGGTTCTAAAGTACTTACAAAACTAGGGGACACTGGTGCTTTGCTTCTACAGTGTTGCTAAAGTGGTGAAAATTTCAGAACTCTAACAAAACTTACAAAATTTTGTTATAAATGGCAGTTCCTAATTGGTTCTGTCATAAAAATCACCAATGATGAAATAATAATGACATTTTGAAAGTTTTGTTAGAGTTCTGAAATTTTCACCACCAGAACTTTAGCAACACTAGCACCCCCTAGTTTTGTAAGTATTTTAGAACTATTTAGAACCATGGATTTCCTGTGCCTAGAGGGTACCCATTCTGCAGATACAAAGATCATACTGTATGTCTTTCCACTGCTTGATTTTACATTTCTGGAAACTGATAACATTTTGTATTTTACTTTCCACACTTATAATATTGCTTTTCTGCCAATGGATTCAAGAAGATTGAGACTTTAAAATAATGACTTCAAAAATGTTATTTTTGTTATTTTACTCATTGGCAAATTGCATGTTAAGGATGTCATGCTGCGGGAGTCTTCCCTCCTGCAACATGTATGAACAATGTGCCAAACATAAGGCAGCTTCTATGGTGGTTGTTCAACTTAATGTATTGGCTAGAGGTGTACAAATTCTTCCAATGGGTGTTTCTACATTATTTTAAAGTATCTTAAAGTATGTATTAGCAGTTTTTAATTTGTATTGGTTTTCTATGTTCTTTTAACTGTGGTAATGAATTTGATGTTGTTCTCCATCTCAATCCATAGGGAGAGGTGGGTAAGAAATAAATAACAACAACTATTCGCAACTTGTTTTAACTAAAAATATTTTTACTACTTTTTTTCCCATTTTCTCACCCAAAGATTACAACAAAACATACTCCCTTGCTTGCCATGCTGAAGATCCTTCCCTTATGGCTGTCTACATTCCTGATCCAATGGGGCCTCATTCACTGGATCTCACCCATTTTCAAATTGACATGTTCCAGTCAGACCAAGATTGTAGAACAGTTAACCACCAATAAAGACCTGCAAGCCATCTTCAGTTACTTCTTCTATGGTGAGGAAATACTGATTATTTTTCTTTGGGATGTTTTGTTTTCTGGGCCTGGCTTTTAATCACATCTTTCCATGATATATTTGTCACATTCATGAAAGTGAGATTGTGGGGCACATACATTCAGACGTTTCCAGGTTCAATCCCTAGCATCTCCAGGTATGGCCGGTAAGACCTCTGCCTTGATTTTGGAGAATCATTCAAGGAGCGTGACTGATATTAAAGATGTGAAAAAATCCAGGAACATGAAAGGCACTGCAGACTACTCCAACCAGAGAAATCAGCCATAGCAGAGCACCTGATGAACCAACCTGGACACAGCATTTTATTTGAGAACACAAAAATGCTGGACCACTCTCACAACCACCATGTCAGACTACACAGAGAAGCCATTGAAATCCACAAACATGTGGACAATTTCAACAGAAAGGAAGAAACCATGAAAATGAACAAAATCTGGCTACCAGTATTAAAAAATTCTAAAATTGCAACAGCAAAACAGCAGGGAGAAAAACAGGCAGGGACATCTAATCACCTTTCAAGAAGAGTTTGCTCCAGGCACTGTCAGCCCATTGTATGCTAATCAAGGTGGTCAGTGGAAAGATTCACACCCAGCCCAACTTACAAAAGCCCTTTGTCTCACCCTGGTCATTCCACAGATATATAAACCCCTTTTTTTCCCATTTCCAGCAGACCTCACCTCTGAGGATGCTTGCCATAGATGCAGGCGAAACGTCAGGAGAAATGCCTCTAGAACATGGCCATATAGCCCGAAAAAACCCACAAGAACTGATTTGTTTATACAGTTTGCCTGAGTTAAGTAACTTATCCCCACAGATTAAACTTTGTGCCTATATTTCGATGAAACACATTTTAGTCATATCACATATCTCCCCAAAGAACAGCCATAATTCGATGACCACTGCATATGTTCAGTCCTCATTGAGCTGGGTTTATTTCTGTATTTGTTATTATTGATTTATCATGGTGTTCATTTACTAGTAATTCATTTTTGTGAACCAAAGCAAACACTTTTTAAATTGCCCATTTCATTCAGAACTTCATTACCATCTGGCTCATATCTTTGTCACATTTTGGCAGTCCAGATTAGTCCTCTGTTGTCCTGTTTTTAAAATCTGTTTTTAAAACCTGCTTTTAAAATGTTTCAGTTTTTCTCTCCTCCTCCCATGCCCTCCTTTCATCTTTGGCTTCCTTCAGTTGCTGTAAACTAAGTTCAACATACTAAAATAGTTTGCACTTACCAGTAGTAAACTAACTGGAAGGGAGAGAATGGAATGACTGAGGACTTATATTTCCTTTTAGCAAACCTCTGACACATTTCCTAGCTTGTGTGTTCTTCCTCATTAAAATTACATTATTTCTGTCATCCATGGTGTCACCCTCATGAACCTTCCCCCATGCAATAACATACCATAATATTGTAACTAGATTTTGAAAACTTGATAAAATCAACAACTGTTAAAGAAACAACAGTACCAATGAAACAGCAGGACATGCTCATCTTATGTGCAGATAAAACAATGTGATTTACAGCATCCTTGGTAATAAAGCACACACACTGGCAGATTCAAAAAGTAAATTAACCATGAAGCTTTATTGATGCATGACATGTAAGCTGGATATCTAGGTAAAAGACTGTATTTTTTAAAATACATACATATCTGCCTAAACACTGCACAAAAATGTTTGTGTCACCTACTCTGATGGCGTCACCCAGTGCTGTTTGTACCCCTTGCATCCCCCTAATAATGCAACTGCTCATTAATAACTTTTGACATCTTGACCACACTGTGATGATGTTTGCTCCTGTGAAGCAAACATTACTTATGAAATGCTGAAGGATATCCTGGCTGTCACATTGAAATTCTCCAAACCATTAGGGCATCTTATCAGAAAAGATTGTCAATGTTTCAAGTATCCTAATCATCCTTTTTCTCTTTCAATCTCTCCCAATAATTTTCAGGAGTTCCTCCAAAAGACTCCAGTTTCCTCATGACTAGCATACTGGTTCGTCACTACCAGCGTGGTTCATGGTATCCATTAGGGGGACCTAGTGAGATCCCTTTCCACATCATCCCAGTCATCGAGAGAGCTGGAGGTGCTGTGCTCATGAGGGCCCGTGTAAATCAGATCTTGATCTCAGAGTCTGGCAAAGCAATAGGTGAGTTGCACCTGGAATTTGACAGTGACTCCATTCCAAAGGGGGAAACTTGTCACAGTTTTTATTTGAATATTAAAAACTATAAACTTGGGAAAAGTTGTCAAACATAGATTGAAAGGAACTTCTCTCCCAAATTCAACAAGCACAGATGTTCCTAGCATGACCATGCTTGCCTCTCCTTGCTATGTATGAATTACAACCCCATATCCACAGGAGATATGTTCTTGGACTTTGCGTGGATATGTGAAACCACAGATCATAGTGAACCCTATTATTTTCAATGGGATGAATACTAGGTACTGTTGTGTTGTCAAAGGCCTCAAGCAGACAAGAGTTCTTTCTCCCACCCTGGACATTCCACAGATATATAAACCTCATATAGTTTCCAAGAGACCCCTCAACCTTTGAGGATGCCTGCCATAGATATGAGCAAAATGTCAGGATATAATGCTTCTGGAACATGGCCATAAAGTCCAGAAAACTCCCAGCAACCTACATAGATACTGTTCAGGAGGCCCTAACTCAGTAGTTGTCAACCAGAGGGTCCCCAGATATTTTGGCCGTTAACTCCCAGAAATCCCAACAGCTGGTAAACAGGCTGAGATTTCTGGGATTTGTAGGCCAAAACACCTGGGGACCCACAGGTTGAGAATCACTGCCCTAACTTAATAGATGAATCTGTGGTGGAGCTGCATATATCACTTTCCTGAATCGGTGGGGCAGGATGTACCATGTATTAAAGATAAGGAGCCTTTGCAAAATAAATAAATAAATACATGCCAACTTCAATTCAGTACTGATATGATTCAATATAAAGGGATTCAAATGCAGCCTTCGAGTGTTAACACATTTCTGGACCTAGATGGTCAAATCTGCCAGCTTCAGGTTCTGTTAGATTTTTACATTTCAAGATGCTGCAAAACCAAATTGGAAGAACTGTGGAAATGTTTTAAAATACTGACTAAAATTAACTAAAATGGAATACCTCCCAATTCTTACCCCATATATTTTCCTCCCAGAAAACAAGAAAAACAACAACCTGGAAAAATATCTTTACAAATCTACAAAATCCAAAAAGTTTAAATAAGACCAAACATTCAAAAAATTAAAACCAGATTAAAACATAGCATTAAATTCACCCATGCATATACCAATCATAATGCTTGTCATCCGAGACTGCTCTACTCAAATCATGGATGGGTTTTCAAGTCGAATAGAAAACTAGACTAGGGAAGGGCAAATGCAGGGGGGGGGGGGGGAAGAGGCATCAGTTCCCAAGTGTTTTCAACATGGTTCATATCTCTAACCCTTCATTAACAGTGAGGCCCTGACTGGAGCAACCTGCCAATAAGTGTGTGAAATTGCCACTCCAGTGATGACCTTACTGAGCAGTTATATCTTGCAGGGGTGAGTGTACAGAAAGGACAGAATGAAGAGGTGAACATTTATGCTCCTCTTGTGATCTCGGATGCTGGCATTCACAACACCATGGCGAACCTCCTGCCTCCTCAGATCCGAAACAAACCAGGTAAATCAAACACTGTTGGGTGTTCTCGGTGAAGTTCACTATGACCCATGTCATAAAAAGTTCATTATCCCCCAAGGGTCAAAGTATTATTGGAAGAGACCCATATTTGAAACTAAGTAGGTCTGAACCTAGGATAGAATGAGACCTTCCAGGGATTTGCTTGTTGATTTCAATCAACCCTTCCCTGCCCTATCAATTACTTTCTGCCTATGTTTGCCTATTTCTTCAACCCATTCAAATGCCACCTGAATCAGCCAACTACTATTAGTACTGGTGTTTCCCAATCATGATTTGGAATAAGACTTTGAGGAATATTTGCAAATGAGTCATAATGGAAGGCCTAAGACAGAGATGAGAAAATGAAATAGGCAGAAATGTAACCCTGCAAACCAGATTATATTAGGCTTTGCTCTCCAGTCATTCACACAGAGATGTAAAGCACTCTCAGCTATTGTATGCCTGAGAAATTTGAAAACAAGAGAATGTCTTTTCCTGACTAGCATGGGACATGGCTTTGGACTGAGGGATATAATGCTCTCTGGACTAAGTCTGTCCACAGCCTAGAAATCATACATTAGGATGGTGGTTCCCAAACTTTGGTCCTTTAGATGCTTTGAATTCATATCCGTGAACTCCTGACTCTGGGCCTGACTCTTGGCCAAGCTTGTGGGGGCTTTTTGGATTTGAGATCAAAAAACATTGAGCACTCATGTTTGAGAGCCATAGCATTGAGAAGCCAGACACAAACTTTTATTGTGTCTTTTCTACTATAAAATATGGCAACAGGAGACTCGTGATTCCACTGTAACCAGTGCCACCTAGTGACTTCACTTTAAAAGAACAGCATCGAAATAAGGTCTTGGAAGTTACAGCAAACAGTCACTACACAGTTCATGCCATTTAAATTAGTCCAGAAAGGCATGTGGAAATTAGTGCGGAGAGAGGAGAATAAAGGGGTGTATGCAGGCTTGTAGTATATCATACATGTCTGAACTTTGTTTTGGGGAAGATACTAAGGACCTCATCACATTATTGAGGTCATCCAAATTGATTTGCCTGCCTCTGTGGCAAATAAGGGGGGAGGGCAGTGGGGGCAATCCCAGTTCCGGCTGGCAGGTGATGCTTTCCAATAACACATGAGGAAGCATCGCCATGCAGCTTCCTCCCATGGTAGCTCCATTGTTCCTAATGGAACACGGGGAGCCTCCTGTGTTGGTGGCACAGCGTTGTAGGATGCTGCCACTCCAGATGAGCCATGGAGCCCCACCAGAAGTGAGGCTACGTCATGTGATGGGTGGTGTGGGACTCCGTGGCTCAACTGGGGCAGATGAGTCCCAGGTAACTGAAATATTCTCATGTGATGAAGTTGTAAGTTGGCTTCCGAATAACTTTCTTTGGATTCTTGGTTAATAGATTTGTTGTTTCCCATTTTTTATTGTTTTATTTTTATTGTTCTGAGAGCCCTTGTGGATATTAAATGTCTCATATTTTTATACTTGAATAATATTTTTAAATTTTAAATGTAGTTTTAAATCATTTTATAGTTTGAAAAATTTAATCTCATTTTAAGGTTCACTTTTCTGCATGTTTTTAGCAGTATTATATTTTTAAATTGTTAAACCACCTCAACTCCCAGTTTTGGAAGAAAATCAAGATACAAGTAACAGTAACAGCAGCAGCAACAATAAGAATGATACTGTCACATAGTGATATATAAATATTTACATAAATTGGTGTATTGAACCCAATATTCTGTTTGTTGCAAACTACAGTATCCAAAGGGATAGACAGGATGTGCACGTATCTATTTTTGTTTCAGTAAATTTCTGCCCCCTTTCAACTCTATGATTCTATCCATTCAGAAATCAAGTCCCAAACGGAAATGGTCCAACACAGTATGGGTTCCTTCATCGTCTTTGTGGGCCTCCGAGGGACCAAAGAGGAGCTTGGTCTCAAGTCAAGCAACTATTGGATTTATCCAAGCAATGATCTCGATACCATGTAAGTAAAGCCTTCCTATTCACTTTCCTTCTCCAGCTTCAACAAACTAGTTGCTTTTCTAATATTGAATTAGTAGATTTAGTACCTTTGCACTCACTGAGATTGGTAACAACTGAGCAAGGACATGAACAAGCTAAGTAAGTATTTGTGAGTGTTATGCAATTGTGGCATGATTTGCTTTTTCATAAAAAGTTCATCATTGATTGATTCTTTCAGAGTATTGTTATTTTACCTCCAAGCTCACTAGCTTCACTTGCAGGCAATATGCAACAGGAAAAAAATATTTAAAATAATACCAAGATTGAAAAATGCAAAACAAATTAAAATACCAATTCAGAACTTTGTAAAAGAAATTGAAAATAGTTTTTAAAACAAAATATTAAAGCAAACAGAGCCATTTCAGATACCCATGGCTGCTCTGATCCTGAATGTGGTTTTCCATCCTAGTTGGATATCACTACTGTTCTATCCTACAATGAGACATGTATCACATTCTGTTGAAATTGTGTTCACTTCCCATGAAGGCCTGGGCATGATCTCTCTAATTCATTTGAAATTTTTCTGCTATTGACGTTTGAGTTCTATTGCCTTATTTTTTGGATTCATGTAAAAATTCTGAGCTCCCCATCCATAACATAAATTTGATTGGGATTAGTCCAACATCCATGTGCAACTCCCTCAGTACATTTGTAAACATACCCATCTGCTGCTACTGAAAACATACATTAATGTGGGCAGTGCAACATACCCAACCTTTCTGTTATTCTTTCTACTGGAAGAGATGCCCTCTGTTGTTACAGGAAGCATTTCTGGCTGTTCCTAGCATCATAGAGAATTGCTGCCATGGGAAAGGAACCCCACATTTTTGGGGATAACTTGAGTGAGGTGTTGGCTCACCACAGAAAGTTGTCTACCCCTGATGCAGACTGTTTTGTATCTGCTGATGGCTTCTCCTGAGAACTTTCCAGTTTCTCCTCTTTTTGTTTGCAGGATGACCACATACACTGATTTACCCAAAGAAGAGGTGAGCAACAACATCCGAATGATGTACATCACCTTCCCATCAGCCAAGGATCCCACGTATGAAGAGAGACACCCAGGTATCATATTTGGATTCTCTATAGTAGGCATGGGCAAGCTTTGGTCCTCAAGGTGTGTTGGACTTCAACTCCCATTATTCCTAACAGCCTCAGTCCCATTTCTTTTCACCCTCAGCCGCTTAAGCGGAGGGCCCAAGTTTGTCCATTTCTGCTCTATAGGAAAGGAATACCTTGGAAAGACGATGTTATCCACTGCTAATACTCACACTTGTATTATTATTATTATTATTATTATTATTATTATTATTATTATCTATCATATTTTCTGTTACTACTGTTTTTAATATGAATTTTATTATTTCTTTAAGCTGATTGTTTTATTTTATCTTCTTATTGAGAATTTGTATAGTTCCTTAAATAAATAGCGATATAAAATGGGGAATAATTCATAAATACAGGCATGCAAATATTTATATAGCACCGTTTGTGTTATCCTTTGTAAGAAATGGATTTGGCAAGGACCAACAAAGAACTGGCAAAGGGAACAACAAAAGATAGGGGAAAAGTAATAAAGCAACCCATTCTTTCAGTTAGTTTTGATGACTGATGATCAAGGATTTTGTGCAGTTTGTATCCTTAAGCAAACTGGCCAGATTAGCAATCCTCTTACTTTTTTTTCGTGTCAGGAGTGACTTGAGAAACTGCAACTCTTCTTGCTAATATGCTAAAGGGAATTGTTGTTTTGTTGTTGTTGTTGTTTTACATTTCATACGTTCTCCAAATGCTGTCATATATGCCAAAATGGATTTTTAAATGCAAAGACATGCAATTTATGGTAAAATGCATAGACATTTTGGAGGAGAACATATTTAAAAATACCTTGTGTATTTGATTAAGATCAACTGGATATGGAAATAGGATGGAACACAAGCAAAACTGCAATGGACAAGGATTCAGATGACTCCTATCTAATTCTATAAAAAGATTAAACTTGGAGAAAATTGTTTATTTTTAGAATATATTTTCTCTATTTCACTATGCCTACAAATCCTAAAGGTACCAGATGCTGTCCAATTTGGGAACCTAAGCTGAATCAGCTCTGGTTAGTACTTGAATGGGAGTCCATCAAGGGACTTCAGATGCTGTAGGCTAAATTTTAGAGAAAAGGACTGGTAAAACCATCTCTGAGTATCCCTTGCTTAAGAAAACCTAATAAAACATATAGGATTGCTGTTAAGTCAGCAGGCAACTTGAAAGCATATAAACATACACAGTACATTTTATCTATTTACTCCTACTTTCAAATGTTTACAATTCTTATAGGTTGTTCTTGTATGACAATCATCACTATGATTCACTACAAATGGTTTGAGGAGTGGTCTGGAGGCCGCGTGAGGAACAGAGGGCCTGACTATGATGCCTTTAAAATGGAGATTGCTCAGCAAATGCTAGACAGGACTTTGGAGAAATTTCCTCAGCTCCGTGATAAGGTAATTCTCATGAGGGGAGGGTCAATTTTAATGTTTTATACTGTTTTTATCGAGGGCATTGAATTGTTGCCAACACTGTGAACTGCCCTGAGTCCCCTTTGGGGTTGAGAAGAGCGGTTTTGGCCTGCATCAATAGTGTCTAGATCCAGGGAAGTCATGCTACCCCTCTCTCTATTCTGCCTTGGTTAGACCACACTTGGAATATTGTGTCCAATTCTGGGCACCACGATTGAATATTGACAAGCTGGAATGGGTCCAGAGGAGGGCAACTAAAATGATCAAGGGTCTGGAGAACAAGCCCTACAAGGAGCGGCTTAAAGAGCTGGGCATGTTTAGCCTGAAGAAGAGAAGGCTGAGAGGAGACATGATAGCCATGTATAAATAAATACATGAGAAAAAGTCATAGGGAGGAGGGAGCAAGCTTGTTTTCTTCTGCCCTGAAAACTAGGACGCGGAACAATGGCTTCAAACTACAAGAAAGGAGATTCCATCTGAACATTAGGAAGAACTTCCTGACTGTGAAAGCCATTCGGCAGTGGAACTATCTGTCCCGGAGTGTGGTGGAGGCTCTTTCTTTGGAAGCTTTTAAATAGAGGCTGGGTGGCCATCTGTCGGGGTGCTTTGAATTTGTTTTTCCTGCTTCTTGGCAGGGGGTTGGACTGGATGGCCCATGAGGTCTCTTCCAACTCTATGATTCTATACAAATATCACGAATAAATAAATAAATTCAGTATAGCCATGTAGAATTGCTTTTCTACGGACATCTATATTCCATCTGGGCAGAAAAGAGACTTGTTAAATACCCTAAAGAGCAGCAGATCCTGCCTGATCTCAAAAGCAGGGTGAGCCCTGGTTAGTATTTAGATGGAAACTGCCAAAAACTACCAAGTGCTGTAGGCTATATTTCAAAGGAAGGAAAACCACCATTTACTTAAGAAAACCCTATGAAATTAACAGGGTTGCCATAAGTGGACAGGTTACTTGAAGATACTTGAAAGGAGCCCCCGGTGGCGCAGTGGGCTAAAATGCTGAGCTGCTGAGCTTGTTGGCCGAAAGGTTGCAGGTTCGAGGGAGCGGTGTGAGCTTCTGCTGTCAGCCCCAACTTCTGCTAACCTCGCAGTTCGAAAACATGCAAATGTGAGTAGATCAATAGGTACTGCTCCGGCGGGAACGTAACAGCGCTCCATGAAGTCATGCTGGCCACATGACCTTGGAGGTGTCTAGAGACAACACTGGCTCTTCAGCTTAGAAATGGAGATCAGCACCAACCCTCAGAGTCGGATATGACTGGACTTAATGTCAGGGGACAACCTTGACCTTTACTTGAAGATACATACATACATACACACAGGGGGAGGAATGGGAAGAGACCTCTTCCATCAAATCTTATCAGAGGAGGAAAAAAACTTTCCAAAATTTGTGGGCAGGTCACACTATTACCAGGGTGGTCACTTAAATTCCCCCTCTCCCAAGATAATTGTTCCTTAGTTACCACTACAAGCAAGGGCAACAGAAACTTCAACTGTAATGCCAGCACAGCAACCGTTTTGGATCTTTCACAATTCCTTAGACCAAACACTGTTATGAAATGCAGGATAAAGTTCTAACTACTACATTTGGCCCGGCAATAGGTTTTTAAATCTCTATGTGTTTTGTCTATATGTGAGGTTATATTAATTGTATTGTTTATTTGTTTATTGCTTGTTTTTATTGATGTGTTGTTCGGCTTGGCCTCATGTAAGCCACTCTGAGCCCCTTGGGGAGATGGTGGCGGGGTATAAATAAAGCTTTATTATTATTATTATTATTATTATTATTATTATTGAGTGGGTTATAGAGGCCATCGCATATGTGAAATTTGAGAATGTTCATATAGTATTCTTTAAGGTGGGCACTTTTCTCTAGGAAAATGAGAAGGAGTTATAGACTAAAAAAGCTCAAATTTTGGCTTGGAGCTAATTCAGTCCTCTCAATGTTAATACTAATGATATATCCCTTTTTTCCCTTGTGAGGTTTTGTCCCATACTCACCCACTGTCAGAACTGACAATAGTAGAAAATGCGTCTTAGTACAAATACTGGGATCAATTTTCCTTTAAGTTTTGAAACTCACAAACAAACTCACTTTTTCATCATTGCCTTCATTTATCATAATTTTTACTTGGTTGTTCCTTCTAGGTTGAATTTATGGAAGCTTCTTCCCCTCTCAGCAACCAGTACTATCTAGCTGCTCCCCTGGGTGAAATGTATGGTGCAGAGCATGACCTAGTCCGCTTCAGTCCACAAGTCATGGCGACCATGAGAGCCAAGACTCCTGTTCCCAATCTCTATTTGACAGGTCAGTGGCGTCTTCTCACTTCTCCTATAAGCTCTCAATTAAGCAAGACATAATTACAACCAACATGTTACTCTGAATTAACACATTTATTCAGGGCAAAGTTATATCTTCATTATACTTCAGTTAAAGAACTCCTCTTAAATTTAAATAGCAACAAATCATAACAAATACATTAAAAATACTTTACAACTGCCCAAAATATGGCAGCCGCCCTTTCCTTACAGGCCTGTATTTGAAGCATTCAAGAGGTTTGTCTAGTTATTTATTTATTTATTTATTACATTTATATACCGCTTTTCTCCCAAACTCAAAGCCAACATTATAAAGGCAAAATTCAATGCTGTACATACATGTGAAAACCAAAAGTTAATAGCAAGACAATAACAAATAACTATAAATTAGCCTAGCCAAATTAAAACATAAACATAAAATAACATTTAGATATAAAGCCTAAAAAAAATAAACATCATTAATACAATCATATTTATATTAAAACTCGCCGATAAACTATATATGTAATAAAAACGTAACTTTAATTGTTTTTATCAAATTGGGAACATAAATAATTACTTATGATAATTCACCTCTAAAGTTTGCAAGCTACAATGTATACCAGGATGAGTATGCATAGAGGGTAATATCTGCCAATTTTTCAATCTGTTTTTGAAGGCATTCATGACAAGAATCATTGGGTTGCTGTGAGTTTTTTTGCACTGTATGGCCATGTTCCAATAGCATTTACTCCTGACATTTCACCTGTATCTGTGGCCAGCATCTTCAGAGGTCCTCCAAAGATGCTGACAGCAGATGCAGGCAAAATGTCCTGAGAGAACGTTACTGGAACATGGCCATACAGATTGAAAACTCATAGCAACCCAATTTTCCAACCCTTAGGAGTGCCAAAAGACCACAGCTTGTTGGTGACTGGTAGTGACATTTCTTCACTCATGGATGCCTTTTGGGATATTGAGGGGTTATTTCTGTTTCAGAGTAGGTGACTCCTCGAAACAGATATCTCTAAGCAATCTGGAGTATTTCAAACTCTTTTTTCAGGCAGAACCCATAGGGAAGGGTTGGCTCTAACAGTTGAGGGTGTTTTGAGTTATGGCCATGAGAAATGCAAGAACCACACTAAATCTCCTCAAATGTTCCACGTGTCCTGCAGATTTTAAATACAGTCTTTTCTAAGATGTGTTTTTTTACTCTCCACTGCGTAGGCCAAGATGTCTTCTGCTGTGGCCTGTTTGGGGCTCTGAGTGGGGGCTTGCTTTGTTCTTCTGCTGTGCTCGGACGCAACGTTTTCCTCGACCTAGTTCGATTGAAGAAGAAACTGAACAGGCTGAATCACAAGAAGAAGAACTAGTCTTTTCAGACACAAATAGTCTTACAGGGGGGAAAAAGTGCCTGGTTGTAAAAATGTAAGATTGGCCTTGCAGAATCACATTGAAGGTCCTTTTGGTCCAGCTTTCAATTGAGTGCCTCTTGGACAGCGGTTCCCAAACTTATTCAGCCATGGAACGCTCCAGAAGACATTTACTTTCTGTGGAACTCAATTCTGTCCCTGATTTGTTTATTCAAAATATAATGGAATCCCAGAGCCATTGAGTTCAACCTATTGTGTCATATAGGCAGACCGGACTGATCAGCTATGGCCTAGTCTAGAGTCATAGCCTGAGTTGGTCACCATCCCCACATCTTGGTAAATTGCATACGCTTTTGAAGAAATAAACCTTTCTTATTTCTCACTCTCTTGCTTGATCTTTGACAAGTTTGAAAACTGCATGAGGATGATGGATGGTGAAATGTCATAGATGCTGAATGCTTATGACAGGAAACAGGATGTATCTTTATTATATAGATTCAATTCTTTCTGGAGTGGATTTTATGAGTTTCCTCAGAGGTTACAACAAATGGTTTGCTTTCATCCCTGTGGTTGGGAATAGGTTTGAAGAGGCTATTTCCACATCATCTACTCCCCTACATGGTCATCATTCTGGAGCTGCCTGTATTTAATTTGCCAACTGGATTTTCAATTCATATTTATATGTTGAAGCATTTGAACCAAGATGTGATACTCAAAACTTGCTTTGATAACCCTGGCTATGGTTCCACAGATTTGACAGACAGAAGACGAGTACAGCAGCTTTCATGAATATTTTATTGGTGTCAAGTACCATCTAGGCCAGGGTGGGAAATCTGTGGTCCTCCAGATTTAAGAACATCTCCCATCATCCTTTATCATGAGCCCCCGGTAATGCAGTGGGTTAAACACCTGTGTCGGCAGGACTGAGGACTGACAGGTCGCAGGTTCGAATCTGGTGAGAGGCGGATGAGCTCCCTCTATCAGCTCCAGCTCCTCATGTGGGGACATGAGAGAAGCCTCCCACAAAGATGATAAAAACATCAAAATCATCCAGGCATTCCCTGGGCAACGTCCTTGCAAATGGCCAATTCTCTCACACCAGAAGCAACTTGCAGTTTCTCAAATCACTCCTGACATGACATGACATGACATGACGATGATCCTTTATCATGTGAACTGAAGAGAGCATTTGGCAAATTATAAGTTATTTGGATTGGTGAAAGAGGATGATTCTACATTACATACATTTCTCTCTATCACTTCCCCAAAATTGACCATATGATATGTGAGTGTGTTTGTGTGCCTTCAAATCACTAGTTGGTTTATGGCAACCATATTGAGACTAGGATGCAAAACAATGGCTTCAAACTACAGAAAAGGGGATTCCACCTGAACATTAGGAAAAACTTCCTAACTCTAAAAGCTGTTCAGCAATGGAACTCTCTGCCCAGGAATGTGGTGGAGGCTCCTTCTTTGGAGGATTTTAAACAGAAGCTGGATGGTCATCTGTCAGGGGTGCTTTTAATGTGATTTTCCTGCTTCTTGGCAAGGGGTTGGACTGGATATTTATTTATTTGCTATACTTTTATCCCACCCTTTTCAGCCCGAAGGAGATTCAGGGCGGTGATATCCCATGAGGTCTCTTCCAATTCTATAATTTTATGATTCTATATGAATTTTTCATGCGATGTTAGGCAAGGAATATTCAGAGATGGTTTTGCCAGCCCCTTCCTTTGAAGTAGAATCTATAGCACCTGGTATTCATTGACAGTCTCTCACACATATCATAGAATCATAGAATCAAAGAATTGGAAGAGACCTCATGGGCCATCCAGTCCAACCCCCTGCCAAGAAGCAGGAATATTGCATTCAAATCACCCCTGACAGATGGCCATCCAGCCTCTGTTTAAAAGCTTCCAAAGAAGGAGCCTCCACCACACTCTGGGGCAGAGAGTTCCACTGCTGAACAGCTCTCACAGTCAGGATGTTCTTCCTCATGTTCAGATGGAATCTCCACTCTTGTAGTTTGAAGCCATTGTTCCGCATCCTAGTCTCCAGGGAAACAGAAACAGTTGAACCTCTGTGTTCATAGATTCCGTAGAATCAACAATTCTAGAATCTAGAAGTATTCTCTCCTGATGTTTCGCCTGCATCTATGGCAGGCATCCTCAGAGGTTGTGAGGTCACAACTTCTAAGGATGCCTGCCATAGGTGCAGGCAAAACACCATGAGAGAATATTTCTAGAATATGGCCATACAGCCCAAAAAACCTACAACAACCCAGTGATTCCGGCCATGAAAGCCTTCAACAATACATTCATGGATTTAATTGTTAGGAGATTGCTATATTTACTACCACCTCAACTACTGCCCTATATGTGACTGGATAAAAGTGTTCAAAGCATTTATAAGTATCTCAGTGCAATTATGTGTTCAATCCTAGTAGAAGGTTAAAAAAAGCATTTGCAATATTTATTTTCACAAGGATCCTGCAACCCTAATCCCCATTTATGTGAAGGCACTCTGGTATTTGTATGTAACTGTGGTTATTAGGCCTGGGTAACAACGGAAAAATTTGTTTCTAAAATCGATTTGTATTTGGGGGGTTTTTTTGTTTCGATATTTAAAATAATTACAAAATTTTCCTTTTAAAAAGTTCGATATTTACGAAATTTCGTAAATGGTAAAAAATTAACGAATCGATTTCCGAAACAATAACGAATCGATTCGTTAATGGCGGACGCGACCGCGAAATACGCTAAAAAACCTCCAAAACCTTCTGAAGCTTCTCTCCCTCTGTTGTTGACTGTTGGTGTGATATTATAATTTTTTCACTAATTAAACCATAAAACTGCCCCAGACATGCGGAAATAATAACGAAACGACCTCAAAACAATAACGAAACGAATACAATATCGAAATACGAAGCATTTACAAAACGTTTTTGAAAATTCGTTTTTTTATAATTGCTCCAGAATGGATCGTTATCGTTTTGTAATTGAAAAAATTAACGAATTATTAACGAATTACGAATTAACGAAACGAAAACCGCCCAGCCCTAGTGGTTATTGTAATTATCATGATAATATTGGGGGGGACTGTGTAGGAGGGAATCATATATATATATTAGGGCTGGGCGGTTTCGTTTCGTTAATTCGTAATTCGTTAAAAATTCGTTATTTTTTATTACGAAGCGATAACGAACCATTCTGGAGCAACTTAAAAACGAAACGAATTCGTTTCGTAAATGCTTCGGATTCGTTATGTATTCGTTTCGTTATCGGTTTGAAGTCGTTTCGTTATTATTTCCGCATGTCTGGGGCAAGTTTTATAGTTGTTTTTTGTTTAATTAGTCACACCAACAGTCAACAACAGAGGGAGAGGGAAGCTTCAGAAGTTCCCCCTGTCCCATTTGGAGGTTTTTTAGCGTATTGCGCGGTCGCGTCCGCCATTAACGAATCGATTCGTTATTGTTTCGTAATTGTTTCGTTAATGTTTCGTAATTTTTTTTACATTTACGAAATTTCGTAAATATCGAACTTTTTAAAAGAAAAATTTGGAATTCTTTTAAATATCGAAACGCAAAAACCCCCAAAAAACGAATCGATTTTAGAAACAAATTTTTCCGTTGTTACCCAGGCCTACTAATAAGTTTAATATATATATATATATATATATATATATATATGGGATAGAAAATGATAGGTGGAGAAGTCCATTTTACTAACTTGGGAGAAATTTGAACTGTCATTGTGAATCACAATACCTCATCAGATGGGCAAAATTGCCTGTCCTACAATACTCAGACCTCTCTTCAGGCATGGAGCCTGCTGGATCCCATCACATGTAATTGTTGATTCTACAGAATCTATGAACACAGAGGTTCAACTGTATATGTGTGAGAGACTGTCAATGAATACCGGGTGCTATAGATTCTACTTCAAAGGAAGGGGTTGGCAAACCCTACAACAACCCAGTAATCCATTAATGCTTAATCTGCAAATTTGGAAGGACAACTGTAATAGCTAATTACCTATAATTAGAGAGAAAGAATTATTGTTTTCTATAAAGCATTATTTATTCTATAATATATTAATATATCTGTAATATATTAATATCAGATCTGCTGTAAATCCAGTTGATTCATTGGCGTTCCATCTTCAACATCAAGCTCTTCAAAATAGATTTGAAACAGAGTACTTCCCCCACACCCTTTTCTCTTTTGATTCATCTGTTTAAACAATTGTCTTGTGATGGCAGAGAAACAGTATCGTGATTTGGCTTGACAGTAGGGTTTAAGAAACAGCTTGTTTTTGAGTCATGCTATCTCTGGAACTAAATTGTTCTCCACTGCCTTAAATACCATTTCCAATTCAGCTTCAAACCATTTCTCTGTAGCCCTCTGATCTGATGTCCTGGTCCATCCCACAGAAGAGATCGCAATTGCAAGAGACAGTATTCCAACTAAGAGGGATTTGGCTACCGTAAGTGGTTTAATGTGACTCAAGTGAACGAGACGGATTAGTTTATCCTTAATCTTGAGTTTACTGCACTGCTTGCTGAGCGAGAAAGGGAGAGGCTCACTTCTTAAACAATGGGTAGATCCCAGCCTGTAGCTCTTCCCTGGTTAATATACAAAAAATATCCCTCCAAACTCTCCTGTTACCCAAATCATATGGGCAAGCTTCCAGCCTGAGTGGAGCCAGCCCTATTGTTGGGCAAAATGATACAACAGCCTCCGGAAGCTGATTCTGAGTGTAAGGAAAATCTAGCAAATTGTAAATTTGTGTTGTCAAAGGCTTTCATGACCGGAATCACTGGGTTGCTGTGAGTTCTAAGGGCTGTATGGCCATGTTCCAGAAGCATTCTCTCCAGATGTTTCACCATATCTATGGCAGGCACCCACAGAGGTTAAGGAGTCTGTTGGAAACTAGGCAAGTGGGGTTCATTTATATATCTCTTTTGGCCAGACCTTGGAAGCATCTTTTCCTATGTTACATGTGGCCTAATAGGTGCCCCCAGTGGTGCAATGGGTTAAACCCTTGTGCCAGCAGGATTGCTGACTGAAAGGTCGGCGGTTCGAATCCGGGGAGTGGGGTGAGCTCCCATCTGTCAGCTCCAGCTTCCCATGCAGGGACATGAAAGAAACCTCCCACAGGATGGTAAAACATCCAGGTGTCTCCTGGGCAACATCCTTGCAGATGGTCAATTTTCTTAAACCAGAAGTGACTTGCAGTTTCTCAAGTTACTCCTGACATGAAAAAAGTGACCTAATTAATTGATATATTTTTGTAGCTATTCCTATTAAAATAACAGCTTTACAAAAAAATAAATAAAGGAAAACCCTGATCGTGGTGCAACTGCAATGGTTATTTTTATAATTAGCATTTATTTATTTGAGATACAGTAATTATCCAGTCATGCGACTTCCTTTCCCTTCTGTATGAAGCATGGAGGGTTTCCCAAACAGGAAATACACTTTTTCAACCAGCATTTTATGTTCCCCAATTTTGCACTCATTATCTTAGCCATTTGATTCACTTTTGTCCTGTTGACATGGACTGAAAGAGGGGAATATACCAGTAAATTGACGTTTTTGAGTTGTATGATGGATTACTATCAACATAATTACTGCTACTGCATGCTATGGAAAGAGGTTTTGGATGTTCTCAGAATAAACTGCATATACTTTTGGGTAAATTTATTGATTTTTTTTTGTCCTGATTACTGGATTTGAACCGTACTGTTTTTTCTGTGGATGCTGAAGTCCCATTAAATAGTAAAATGGTGTCCTTTACAAAAAAAAAGTCAAAATCAAAGTTTGGGTTTTCTTTTTTTTTGAATATTTTCATGCTGTGGGTAATTGAATCTGTGGGTGCAGTATCTGTGGATATGGAAGACTGACTGTATTTTATCATTTTCCCCTGCTTCTCCCTCATTGGTTGAGGAAGAGAGAAGCACATGCTATTTTCTGCTTTACCACAGGCAGCTGAGATACTTTGGATTGACCCTAGACCTCTGAGATCACTATTGGGGAGCAAAGGGTTACGTACGTATCTTTACTCCCAGTTGGCCAGATGCCAATGGTAATCACATGAAGAATGATAATTGGATAAGTTTGCCCAGTCGTGCAGTGTGCCGGATACTGAACTCTCCTCCATCTGTCTCTCGCTCTTTCTCTCTCTCTTTCACAAACGAACACAAACATACACGACTCAAGCAGTCATGTGGCAGTATATGCTCCTGCTCTTGTTGGTTCTTCTGATCCCTGGGTTGGTTTTCTTCTATCGTCTCCATGGAATGGGAAGGAACCCCTTCAGCCAGGAGTCTGTGCATTCTCCCAAGCCAGTGGTGACAGACCAGGAGGCTCGCAAAAAGATCCTCAAGAAAGGTAAGTGAACCAGCCAGGAAGTGGATTGGCAGTTCGATTGGACCACTACTTAGAATATGAAAAATCTTATGTCCTGTTGGGAAAGGACCTAGGGAGAGGGGAGTGTGTCCTTTTTGGTTTTCATTCACAAGATAGTGATGTCCTTTTCTTTATCATGTCAGAAGTGACTTGAGAACATACTGCAAGTCGCTTCTGGTGTGAGATAATTTGCCATTTACAGAGATGTTGCCGAGGGGATGCCTGGATATGTTACCATCCTGCTGGGAGGCTTCTTTCATGTCACTGCAAGCTAGAGCTCACAGACACGAGCTCACCCCATCTCACAGATTCAAACTGGCAACCTTCAAGTCAGCAACACAATCAATCTTCAGGTCAGCGGTCCAGCCGGTACAAGGGTTTAACTCATTGCACAATAGCAGCTCAATGATGTGCTGAATTGTAGGAGGATGGCAGGAAAAGTTTTTCTTTTGGGTTTGATTTTTCTGTTCCTATAAATACAGACGATAAAAGGAAATGTTTACTCTCTGAATTCTCCAGCCAGAACAGCCAAGTTTAGTTGAGGGATTCCAGGATTTGTAGTCCACAAAAGAATATTTTCTGAGTTCTTCCTAGCACATATTAACATAAACAATTGTATAATCTTATTACATGTAAGTTGGTTCCAGATTCCCAATTTACCTCCACATTCTTTCCCTCCCCCGATGTTTTATCATGTCAGATTTTAGTTTGCAAACCCTGCGTAAAATCGATTTTAACTTCTTGTACCCTGTACTGAGCCATTTTTCTGTCCTCACGAAATTCTGCCTAGGGACATTCTGGGGACCACGTGGAGCGATCAAAATTCAAACCAAACCAAACCAAAGACCAGAAGTAGTTACAAGTCCACTTGGGCTTTCAGAAAAATTAGGAGAATTGTGTTAAATAGTGTGGCATGCTCCGCAACCGCCCCAATTTGGCAGGGACAGCCCTAATAATCCTTTATCACCCCACCTTTTCAGTTGTTTTTAAAATGCTTCAGAATTTCTCTCCTGATCCCACTCTTATCAGCATTCTTCAGTTGCTGAAAACTGAGTTCAAAGTGTAAAACTACTTTATTTATCAGCAGGCCCGTAGCCAGGATTTCGTTTTTGGGGGGGGGTGTGAATTTTTTTCAGGGGGGGGGTCGGGGGGGTACTGAGTTTCGGGGGGAGGGGCTGAGTCTGAGTGAATACCCCCATGCATATGGGATATATTGAGTATCAGATCAGATCATGATATGAATAAACATAACAGTTTAAATAATGCACCAGTAAGGTCTTTTCACGAACCACCATGAGAATTCGGGGGGGGGTAGCCCCCCCCCCGCTACATGCCTGCTTATCAGAGAGGAGAGGTGGAAGTCCTTCCTAGTAGACTCAAGCAAAAGACCACTGCTGCAACCTCTCTCACTTCTATGTTTTTCCTTTTGCCATCTTGATCACATTCAGAGGTAACTTGGCTACATGTATCCCAGTAGTCACCTGAAATGTTAGGAGGTATTGTCTGGAGTGGTTGCAAACTATAAGATGAATGGCTTTCAGGAAATGCAACATGCTGTGGGGAGGATATGCAAGTTGGGAGAATTTCTTGGCCACAAAAACAATGTAGAAAATGTAGGAATACAGCCCGAAGGCCTCACTTCTCCACTCCTGCCCTGGTAAAATAAACAAAGGCAATCTGAAGCTTTCATAACCTAAGCTGATTTGTGGAAGAAGAAGAAAAGAACTGTGGGAACTAGGATGCAACTACTAACTATAGCGTCTGTCATGGTCTGCTCAACTTATGGAGAGCATTAGAAACTTGTTGTTGTAGCATTTGTATCCCATCTGTTCCCTATACTGGGACTCAAGGTTACTCACAAAAGTTAAAACATAAACAGGGAGTTGGACTGGATGGCCCTTGTGGTCTCTCCCAATTTTATGGTTCTATTATTCTAATTAAAAACATACACAAGGTTGTTATTAACATTATGTACTCATGCAATCAAACCCTGATACTATCGCTAGATAAGGTCATCTTGGTTCCCTAGAGTCAGTGGCATACTTTGAGTATCCCTTATCTAAAATACTGGGAATCAGAAGTGCTTGTGATTCCTATTTTTTCAGATTTTGGAATGTCTGCATTCGCATATATAGACATAATGAGATATCTTAGAGATGGAACCCAAGCCTAAACATAAAAATCTTGTATATACTGTATTCTTTTCACCTTAAACATATAGATTAGTGGTTCCCAACCTTTTATTACCCAGGGACCACTTGACCAGGGGCCACTCTCCAAAATTAGTACCAAAAGGGTATGAATCAGTTTTTGGTCAACTTTAGATTCGGTTTGGGGTGTTGATTCAGAAAATTGCACTGAATAGATCACATCAGCTCTAGTTTCTGATACAAAACATATGCCATTGTAAGCAACAGGGAAGGAGTGGAAGGCGGTGCAAAAGGAGAAAAAATAAAATAAATAAAATAAAATAAATAAATAAAGAGGAAGGAGGCCCGCACACCAGATTTTCATCCTCGCAGCCCACAGGTTAAGAACCACTGATATAGACAGAGAGTTATTTTGTACACAATATTTTAAATAATTTTGTGCATGAAACACTGTTTGTGTACATTGAACCACCAGAAAGTGTCTTAGCAACCCACATAGACTGTTTTTGCTTTTGGAATATTTCAGATTCCAGTATTATGGATAAAGGATGCTCAACCTATATTCCAAAGTTCTTCACTTCCAAATAGGTCAACCAAATGCCTTACCTCTCTTTGACTGTCTAGTCCAAATCAAAGACAAATAACCCATTGAGAATGGAGCAGAGGATGACCTAAAGTTACTTATCAAAAGTCAGAGCAGGTGCTCAGGTTTCCTGGAGCCCTTTCACCTTCCACATTTGTAATACTATGGTTCCACTTTAATTGCCAATGCAACAGCTTATGGAATTTTGGGATTTGTAGTTTAGGTAGGAATTGTTATATTTTTTTCTCCAGTAAGCTTTAGTGCATGGCACTCAATATTTGGTCCTCCAAATGTTTTGCACCCCAATATTCAGAATTTCTGCCTTCTGAGTGTTCCTGATGGTCATATTGACTGGGACAAATTCATCTCCAAGAAGTCCCAACCTAATGTTGAGCATCACTGCTGTGCTGCCTCATGAAAATACAGACTCCGGGATTCCATAGTATGTTACCATGGTAGTCAGTGTGGAATCAGTATACTTTAATTGAGTTCATGTTGAGCATCCCTCTCTGAAATTCCACAAGTCAAAAATATTCCAAAATCCTAAACTGTTCACATGAATGGTTGAGAGAAAGACTCATTTCTGGTGATTCAATGCACACAAATTTGTTTCATGCACAAAACAATTGTTGGGTGTGTTCTCATGGTCCGTCTACCCACTCACAGGGATGGCCGATAGGTCAGGATGGAACTCTACAAAGGTATGGGCCTATCATTCCAACTGGACAAAAGATAGAAGTCAAAGCACCTTGACTCTGAGAAAACCCACTCCAGTGGCCCCTTTATGTATTCACCGAAGTAATAAGAGTGAGTGGGGATATACAAAGGGACAGATTGAGACACGACCCTGAAGACGCATACATTTAGGACATTACCCCACTTGTGAGATGATTGTGACTCTCTATGAAAATAAGGTTTTGTGTATTAATCAGACGGAAAATTCAAATCTCTCTTCACCCCTACATTGTAATGATGTAAATGGAGCAGGTGTAATTCGATTATATAATAATTTGATAGCTGAACAAGCCCTATGGAAGGTATATGAATCAAATACCTTACATAGTCCAATGGGGACGGGAGGATTGCCCCCGGGATTGTTTTGGATCTGTGGAAATTGGGCAGGGAAAATGTTACCTCCTGTATGGAATGACACCTGTACATTGGGAAGCCTACCCCCAGCTGGTATAAGAGCTTACCCCTTGCACCAGCCAAAACATGCCTGGTAAAAGCAGTGGGCATGGAATAGAAGGAAGAGGGAATACCATGGAAAACTAGAATATGATCCTGACTGAGGGGGAAAGACTCGGAGCGATATTTTTCCCAGTGGTAGGAGTGGGTCTGAACATCAGACAAATCAGGAGAATATCTGCCCAAATAGAACGCCTAGCCAATTTTATACAATACATGGGTATTGTTATGTTGATTTATATATTTTTTAATGTTGATTTTTATATTTTTTAGTGTTTTCCCATCATCATGAAGGTATGTCATAAATGTACCGCAAGTGTGATTCCTACTTCATGTCAATTAGTATTAGTTGTAAGAAGACCTGAATATTATAAAAATGTCATAACTAGATATTGATTTTGCTTCAGCTTCTGTATCTTTAGCTTTCGCAAAAAGAAAAAAACAGGGGAGTGAAGGGGTGAATAGAGCTTATTAGGAAATTATTATTGCCTATTGGGAAAATGCTGAAAACTGTAAAAGCCTAAGGAAGAGTCTTGTCCTTTGCCATAGAAAAGGTGCAAGGACAAGAGGAGAGACAGTTTTGGAAGAGAACAGGAAAGAACAGGATACAGGGCTGAAGGACGTAGGACAACATGACATCCAAGGATCTGCAGTCATAACATGAGTGCGAGAGACTCTTAAATGGGTGAAAGGGCTCTGTCCTTGTAGAGTTGAGAGGAAGGAGGTGAAAGAACATGTTTTTGAAAGGAAGTTTGAAAGAGGGGTGGATCTGTTCATGATCTGTTCATGACACGGCAGAAAAAGGGTATAAGAATGATATTGGAAAGATCAAATGGGACAGGCAGCCTTTTGAAAGACATCTGATTGTCTTGCTGTTTCTGTCCAGTGCGGCCGCACTTGAAATAAAAAAAAGATTTTTGCTTCAAACCTCACGGAGATTAATTGTCTTTTTTAGATTCACCGCATTTGCCTATTGAAATAATTCCCTTCATTGCTATTGTAAAATTACTTTCAAGTTTTGTATGAAGAGTGTATTTGAAGCATACATGAAATTGATGCTTAGACCTGGATCCCATAAATACCATTATGTGTGTGATATAGGTATTAAAAAATCAGGAGGATTTTGAATACCTATATTATGCACATAATGATTCTGAAAACCAAAGCATTTATGTTGTTTATTCATTCAGTCGCTTCCGACTCTTTGTGGCCTCATGGATCAACCCGCACCAGAGCTTCCTGTTGGCCGTCACCACCCCCAGCTCCTTCAAGGTCAAACCAGTCACTTCAAGGATACCATCCCTCCATCTTGCCCTTGGTCGGCCCCTCTTCCTTTTTCCTTCCATTTTCCCCAGCATCATTGTCTTCTCCAGGCTTTCCTGTTTTCTCTTTATGTGGCCAAAGTACTTAATCTTTGACTCTAATATCCTTCCCTCCAGTGAGCAGTCGGGCATTATTTCCTGAAGTATGGACTGGTTGGATCGTCTCATGGTCCAAGGCACTCTCAGAATTTTCCTCCAACACCACAGTTCAAAAGCATCTATCTTTTTTCACTCAGCATATGGTCCAGCTCTCGCATCCATAGGTTACTACAGGAAATACCATTGCTTTAACTATGCGGATATTCATTGCCAGTGTGATAATAATAATAATAATAATAATAATAATAATAATAATAACTTTATTTTTATATCCCGCCAACCATCTCCCCTAAGGGACACGGGGCGGCTTACAAGGGACAAGTCCAAAATTACAAGTAAAATACACACAAAAACCACTTTAACCGATTAAAAACATCAAATAAAAATAAAATACAAACAACAATTGCAAACAGCATAAAAACAATATGGTTGTGTGTAAAGAACATAGCTGAGGTACAGACTCAATGATTGCAATACAGTAGCGCAAGAAAAGTGCAACAATCAAGTAGGCAAGGCTGGAAATACTGTCATCAAAACTCTTCACTACTACTCTTCACTATTTTATCGAGATTGGTCATTTCTGGGTCCGGGCATTTCAGATAATGGATCAATCTGTACTTTATACTTTGAACTTAGAGCTGAATCAATTGAATCACTTGTGTAACTGGACAAAGCAGGAGGAAAGTGAGACCTTTTCAAAACATCTGTGAAATTGGCAGGGTGAACAACTGATTGTGGCTAATCGCTTAAATTGAGACAGTTAGGGGGGTATGCTACTTTTCTTCCTGCCTGCCAGGATGATATCTTGCTCACTTGCCTTGAAAATCTATGCTGTATTGTATGCATGAAGCCCCTCAGATCCTCTTTTCACCCTGACAAACAGCACTATGGTTGTCATTTTATTGTACATTTTTGCTCTTTGTCCCCAAACAAATATTGTACTATTAAATCAACTGAGTGCTTTTTTTCTTCACTTTGATTTGGAATAGAAAGGGATATAGTGGGGTTCAGCACAAGGAGTTGAAAAAACAAAAAGTCTTGTTGCAACAGAGTGTGTAATTGAACTTTGCCATCCAGCATTCATTCCTCACAGTGGTTCTCAGCCTGTGGGTTCCGGGTGTTTTGGCCCTCAACTCCCAGAAATCCTAACAGCTGGTTAACTGACTGGGATTTCTGGGAATTGTAGGCCAAAACACCTGGGACCCACAGTTTGAGAACCACTCCTCTAAGAGAAACAACATATTTATAACTAGGAATGGAAAGAATATTTGTCAATGTTTAGAAAATGATCAAAAAACACATGTCTAGAGTGTCTGGCAGCCCTGACAAGGAGAATCCTGGACTGAAAAGAATCTTTACAGCTCAGAATTTATTGTATACAAAATTTGCACGTGGTTATTTTGCAGAGAAAATATTCTTTTCTGTGCATAAAATCATTTTCCTTAACAATATTGTAATAAACGAAGGGCTCACTATGCAAAATTTGCACTTTTTCTCTTGTGAAGAAAGAAGCATTTTTGAATAGAAAACGGTATTTTCTATGCAAAAAATGCATATTTCTGTACAAAAGAAATGCTTCTTTATGCACAAACATTTTCTTTCTTCTGTAGAACAAGTCCTGAAGTATGAATAGCCTTCAAAGAGTAGTTTTCAGAGACTTTGTCACAGTGCAAAAAACTGTTAGCATTACTAATTGTTTCCTTGGATAACTAAATTATCAAAAACAACATTCCTATTCATAACAGTTTCTAGACAGATAGTTATTCCAGTCTGCTGTTGAAATATGTTTATGTTAACATGTTTCTCTTTAAAGTGCTGCAGAATTCTTTGCTGACCAGTGACCACCTATTACAATGCAGTCTGAGTCCAGCCACATGCACAATGGAGGACCTCCTTATAACAACACCAAAGGCACTCCAAGTGGCCAGCTACTGGTCAAAGGACATTTAATATAATTGCCAAGTTTTTAAACTTTGTGTTTTTTAAATACATTACAACTGTGCCCTCGGTTCACTCCTGATATGATAAATAAATACATATATTAAAGCTTCCAGTTCAACCTAGAACTTTTCTCTGTTGCTTCCCTATACCAAACTTTATACATGGAACATCTTATATCAGGAAGTATTTATTTTCTTTCTGGCAAGTACCATATAAGCTAAATCTAGAAATGTTTTCCTGGGTGAGTAAGTTCCAAACAATACAGAGGATACTTCCATAAAGGTTTGTGAAGAATGGAGACATCTGTCTTGATCACTACCATGAACTTCCTTTTTCCACACCTCCAAGTCCACTCTATTCCAGTTCCATTAAAAAAACAACAATCACCCTGCATGACAAGTCACTAATTGATTTATGTTACTAATTGGTTTAGTGATCCTGTAAGATAAATCACTAACTGATTTATGGGACTGGTATATGTTGCTTTTAGGACAGGATGACCTTTGAAATACATGGCAATAAAGTGGTACTTTGCCCAGATCTCTTGCAATGTATGCAGCCAGGTATGCTATCAAAACAATCAGCTTCAACGTTGAAGCTGAAAGTTACAACTAGGGATTAGAGACAACCGAGTTCACTTTCTGATAAACATCCTTCGAAATCTTTTCCTAAGTTCAGCAGAAAGAACAAGATATTTTGAGAAAAAGGAGAAAAAGTAGAAAGAATGTCTTCCTTTTATTTCACATCCCATCATTGTTCCATCCTTTGCAGTACCCAACTTGTTAGGCCAGCTCTAGATAAAGCCAGCATGGTCAAATGATTATCTTGAACCAGAACCAAGAATTTTATTAGGTTATACAAAGGCATGAAATCGTCTCTGTGATCTTTGTCTAGTCTATTTCTCTGAATATACCTACCTCAAGGGTTGTTATGAGGATAATAAAGAGTGAATTAAGGAAAGGAATATCATGCCATTTGCAACCCCTTGGATGCAGAACAGAAGAAAATTATAAATATTTACCAGCTTCAAAGGTCCAGCTTGTGGGCCTTACTGGTGAGATCAATTTAATCCATGGACACCAGAAATGAGGCTTTTTCATCAGGGGCTGCACTCCCATAGAACTCCAAATGGAACTTAGTTATACATGGGGAATGGAAAATATAGCAGTTTCATATTCTTCACGGGGCTTGGCAGCTGTGATGGTCTGGATGAGGGCAAATAAATTGAAATTGAATCCAGACAAGAAAGAGGTACTCCTGGTCAGTTGTGATGTCAAACAGGGTATAGAGTTACAGCCTGTGTTGGATGAGGTTACACTCCGCCTGAAGACACAGGCTCACAGCCTGGGAGATCTCCTGGACTCATCACTGAGCCAGGTTTCAGCGGTGGCCAGAGGAGCATTTTTACAATTGAAACTTGTAATTAAGCTGCGCCTATACCTTGGGAAGTCAGACTTGGCCATGGTGGTCTGCGAGCTTGTTACATCCCAAATAGATTACTGAAATGTACTCTACGTGGGGTTGCCTTTGAAGACTGTTCAGAAGCTTCAAGTAGTCCAATAGATGGCAGTCAGGTTCCTAACTGGAGTGGCATACAGGGAGCATACAATCCCCTTGTTGTGTCAGCTCCACTGAACAATTTGCTACTGAGTACAATTCAAAGTGCTGGCTTTAGCCTGTAAATCTCTAAATGGTTCTGGTCCAGCTTACCTATCCGAATGCATCTCCTTTTATGAGTCAATTAGAGCAATAAAATCATCTGGGGAGGTCCGGCCCTTGGTCCCGTCACCTTCACAGGTGTGATTGGTGGAAATGAGAGACAGGGCCTTCTCAGTGATGGACCCACGGCTGTGGAACTCCCTCCCCGATGAGATTAGATTGGCCCACTCCCTCTTGGCATTTGGAAAACAACTTAAAACTTGGCTTTTCAAGCAAGCATTCAGGGAGTGAAATGAAGTAGTTAAATGACAACCTCGGGATTGGTACAATGTTTACTGTTTTATGTTTATGTCTATATCTGATGTTTTATAGTTTTAATGGTTTTAGTCCACAGTTATATGTTATTTTAAGATATGTGATGTATTTTATATTATGTGAGGCACTGATTTTTGCCATTACCTTGTTGTGAACTGCTTTGAGTATCCCCAGGGGTGAGAAAAAATGGTATAGAAATGAAACAAACAAACAAACAAATAAGTTAATTTCATATATGAAGATATTAATTCCATATATGAAGATATTAATGCATTTTGGTATATTCTCCACAAATAAACTGAAATACTACCCCCCCCCCTTTTTTTTTTTTTGTATTGGCCAGATTGAATAAATGAATAAATCAGTTTTAGACATGTAGAGGACCATGTTATAATAATAATATTATAATAATTGTATTATTATATCCTGCCTCCATCTTCCTGAATGGACTCGGGGCGGCTTACAGAGGGACAAGCCCATGTTACCCATAGGTGTCTTACAGGTATTAGAGATAAACCAATCAGACCAGACTGAAATGCATTTCATCCTTACTGAATTGTGAGTTTTTGATTCTCAATTTCTTTTCCCTTTTTCTTAGGTTTCTCTGCAGATAAAGTGCCCCCCAACTTAGATGCAATTGTTATTGGAAGCGGGATCGGAGGCCTATCTGTTGCAGCTGTCTTGGCCAAGGCAGGAAAACGGGTTTTGGTGCTGGAGCAGCACAGCAAGGCTGGAGGATGTTGCCACACCTTTCAGGAGAGAGGATTTGAGTTTGATGTTGGTAAGGGTTAATATTCGTGTGAAATGATTCAGTTTAAGAGAAAACCTACCTAGCCGTTTTGGTATATTGCTTGAACATTAAGACCCAAGGCAGCCCAAATAGGTTGCATTCCTCACAAATTGCAATATCATCTGACTTGCTCACAGTTGAAGAAGTGCTACCAGTGGCTCCCATGACAGTTGGGTAGTAAACCTTCTGCAGGCTTTAAGACATCCAAGGTACTCAATCTATTTTGGTGAAAGAGTTCCGCACTCTGGAGTGCTGCTTTAAAGAATAGAGTAAAACACAAAGTGAGCTATTATTCAGCTACCACTGGCTTGGACCTAGCTTTCCATCAAATACCGTACTCTGTGTGTGTTCAGACTAGGATCAAATAATGTGAACAGTTCTTGATACAAGGCACTGCTGGATCAAATGCAAAGTCCTAAATGCCGGCTGAGATTAAAGCTTCCTTTGCATGGGATCTGAAGTCTGCCACATTGCAAATAGAGTAGAACTAGAGACCTCTGCCTGCCATGTCTAGAAACAATGATTTAATAGAAGCAGGACTCATAGGGATGAAGCCCTGGGACATGTTTATTTTTTAAAAGACAATGATGTTTCCATTTTCAAGTGTTTTGTTTGAGAGTAGCTACAATCATCACAGTAGTTCAAGGGAAAGGTGGATTTTTCTAGCAAGGTTATGTTTTTGATTGTGATTTGAATGCTTTAAATGTTATTTTTCTGCTTCTTGGCAGGGGGTTGGACTGGATGGCCCACGAGGTCTCTTCCAATTCAATGATTCTATGGTTCTATGAGTCCATGAATGATGATATATACCTTCACAATAAGACCCTGTAACCATTGAACCCCTAGCTGTAATTTCATATACCTGTACCTAGAGAAAAAGTGTTGGAATATACCCAGGAGACTCTATGTTGTTTTGGGAAACCTAGCAAATTCATAAACAGGATACCTCTGTGGATATCTAAGTCACCCAACACAAATCTATGATATGCTGGGACTGGAGCCTATGTTATTTAATAGTATTTGGTCACATTTGTGGTTTCAGGTGATCATGGCCGAGCTGATCCCTCCTGGAGATTGGGGTCTTACCATAATTTCAAACATAGTGATAAAGATAGCCTTGATCTTGCATGTAGAACTGTGTCCCATTAAATTGACAAAAATCAGCTCCTTCTGAAGATAGAAATCACCAAAGCTTCTTGTCTCTGACCCTATTCAGAGATCTGGTAATCCTGTTAAAGTAAACATGCAAGGACTAGAGAATGCAAACAAACTCCGCTGCCTATAATTGCTCTCTTAATAGGGACAGAAACTTTCTGTAGGAGAAAACATCCTCTGTACAGGGTTTCCCATCCCATGGGATAAAAAAAGGTTCTCTTCAAATTGTTGCTGTCCATACAAGGACCACCACAACTCATCTCCTTGGAAAGCTCTGCCTGGAGAGAGGAGAGGCATGAGGGAAGAGATACAGATATATGTAAACTGCTTTGAGTCTCCTTTATGGGAAGTAAAATTGGGATATAAACATAATAATAATATTATATCACCAAAGCTTCCTGTATTTTTTAAATCTTGTTTAGGTGGCAAGACAATGGACAGTGTCTGGACTTCAAAACCCACAAATACCTAATTTCTATAGGCCTTGGAAGGTGTACATACCACAGAACCAAAGGCCCAGTGGGAACATTAGATCTGAAAGTTTTGTGGCCTGGTTCCTCTGACACAACAGTGGCTGGGATCTTATACGAGGCTTCTGAAAAGTCTTTGGCTTTACCCAGAAAGAAACAAGATAGGGAGATGTAATTTTACATTTATTCCACATACTCTCCACTGATATCAACACACTTCTTACATCCGTATGCCAAGTTCTGTAAGCCTTGCAAAAAGAAGGATTTCAGTTGTGCCTCAAACCAGTCATCCGTAGCATCAATGGCATCAGAAATGCTGTGAAATGTGGTACCCTTGAGGTATTTCTTCAGGTTTGGAAACAGATGACAGTCGGAGGGAGCTAGAGCCAGTGAATAAGGTGGGTGGTTAACCAGCTGGAAGCCTAGCTCCACCAGTTTCGCCATGGTTGCTTGTACAGTGTGAGCAAAGGAACAAGATTCCTTTGGACAGTTTGCCACACCTTTTTGGCCCTCAGAACTGCCTTCAATTGGTCCAAAAGTTCAGTGTAATACCTTGCATTGATGGTGGAACCATTTTGAAGGTAGTCCACTAGCAGCACACCCTCCTTATCCCAGAATACAGATGCCATCACCTTATTGGCTGATTTTTGCACCCTGAACTTCTTTGGATGAGGAGAACCACTGTGCCTCCACTCTTTTGACTGCTCCTTGGTTTTAGGGTCATACACATAAATCCACGTCTCATCCATAGTGACCAGTCAATCCAGAAAGTTCTTATCTGTCTGGAAACACTGACAAATGGACCAGGAAGTTTTCACTCACATGCTTTTCTGATCTGTTGTCAAACATTTGGGGGCCCACTTTGCAGAGAGCTTCTTCATGTTCAAATGTTCATGGATAATGACACAAACACATTCACAAGAAATCCCCATGATGTCTGCTATTCCTTTAGCTGAAATCTGCCGATTCTCCAGTATGAGGTTGTACATAGCATCAACGATCTCCAGAAGAACAACCACTCTCGGTCGTCCAGGACATTTCTCATCATTGGTGCTGAAGTGGCCCGTTTTAAATTTGGCAACCTAGTTCTTAACTGTAGAATATGACGGGCATTAATCCCCCAATATCTGCGACATGCCACCATAAATATCCTTTGTGGACTTTCCTTGCAGAAACAAGAATTTTATTACTTCTCTGCTCTCATTTGCTGTGAATATCGCCTTAGACTCTGCCATTTTGTTTTCCCATGTGCCTGGATCACTATTGCCATAAGCTACAAACACAAAATTTTGAAAATATACATTAGACACATAAGGCTTTAATATGATGTAACATTCATTACCATAGAATCAAAAGAAGAACACAAAGTCAAAGACTTATCAGCAGCCCTTTGTATCAACCAGGCTGAGCATAATGTTTCATAAGCATAGGTTCTCCTGCCAATCAGACAGCTTTCAAGCCCCTCACAGGGATGCTGTTGCTGCTGCTGGAGAGGAGACAGAGAGAGAAATTCAGAGAGAGAGAAAGCAGCCAGCCTCAACTCATGAGGGAAGACACAATAATTGCTCTCAGAAATTGATTGCATTTTCCTTTTCCTTCCCCTCTCCATTGATTCCCTCCAATGTCCCTTCTCCACCAAAAGCAACAGCTCATCTGGATTGAAGTTTTGATCAGTGTACATAGGGTTTCTTCTACATCAGCCAAAAAGAGCCAACACATGGCTTAGCCACTAACTCCATGTTGCCTAAAACATCCTTCTTTTCTTTCATTTTTATGGTGTTAAAAGGGAAGGTTTGTATATCTGCTTAAATTGTAGTCCAAATATCTCTCTGCTTTATTTTTTCTGACTATGGAAAGTCTTTTCACTCTTAGGCATCCACTACGTGGGGCAAATGCACAAGAATGGCATGTTGAGGGTAATCATGGACCAGCTCACCAATGGGCAACTCGACTGGGTTCAGTTGGAGGATCCCTATGATATCATAACCATTGGGGACAAGGATTATATGCTTTGCTGTGGCAAGAAGGCCTTTGGTGAGGAGCTGGAAAGGCAGTTCCCAGAAGAGAAAGAGGGCATCCAAGAGTTCATAAGGTTAGCAAAGGTGAGAGAGAGAGCACTAAGAGGTCTTACTTATGCACAGAGCTGGGGAAGAGTTGTTTTTAGGCTACAGTGTCTGCAACCCTCGCAGAGATTCTAGGAGTTGTAGGTCAAAAATGTAACTTTTAAAGCCGCTTTTAAGTGGTGCACTTCAGCATTTTGTATCCAAAAGACCAAAATTACAATAGACCAATGTTCCTCAGCAAGAAGAGTCAAATTAAGTAACATCTAGCATGGTCACATAGATATGTTTTATGTACTGTATGCTGTTCATTTTTAGGTTTAGATATTTTTGATAAAAACTTACCAAAATAGCACATTTATTCATAAAGAGAACAGTAAAGTACTTGAGATTTTTTTTTAAAAAAAATAGTTATGGGGAAGTATGGAGAAGTGAAAGATTAATCCCACTATTTCTATACACCTTCACATTGTGATAGAATTACAGACAGAAACATGGAGATCTAGGTTCACTATTTCTGCTCACCAAAGGGTGGAAACAATTTTACCAAGTCTTCTCATTCATTTCTCCTCTCAAAGGTAGTATCAAAGCATGTGGCTCTGCTGGCTGTTCTGAAAATGATACCCTCGTGGTTGTCTACATTCCTGATCCGATGTGGCCTCATTCACTGGATCTCTCCCGTTTTCAGATTGGCATGTTCCAGCCACAGCAAAATGGCGACCCAGTTGACCTCCAATCAGGATCTGCTAGCTATCTTCAGCTACTTCTTCTATGGTGAGGAAAGGGTAATGGGTCTCACTTGATGGTTAATTTCTCCCAGGATGATCCAGTTTTTAATTGTGTCCCTATTTCTTCTCTGACTTGTTTTTCATAATTATTCTCCATGGAGGATTTGCCTTCTAAAATCACTTTTTTGCTGGCCAACCATGGAACAGATACAAATAACTGGATTGTGAAAGAGTTGCTTTATTTAACCTAGATTATATTTAATTGCATTGAATTTATTTAATTGCCAGAAGAGGAAGCAACCTTGTTTGGGTTTACCCGAGACAGGCATAAGTCCTTAACTTGCTCCTCAGTCTATCTCTTAGAAAAACCTGAGTTCTTTACGTATTTACTTAGGCGATCCATCATAGCTCGAGGATGATTGTCTTCCAGATGTGATGTCTTGGCAGTGGGTCCGTAGGTGGCTGTGGAGCCCTATTCTTGATCTGCATGTTCTCCCACAGTGAGGACATCGGTTTCCAGATGGAAGGTGGTCCCGGTCAGGGTTGGCTTGATGTACCTTCCTCTTGGGACATTTCTCCCTTTCACCCTCCATTCGTGCCTCTTCAAATTCTGCAGCACAGCTGGTCACAGCTGACCTCCAGTTAGAGCACTCAAGGGCCAGGGCTTCCCAGTTTTCCGTGTCTATGCCACAGTTTTTAAGATTGGCTCTTTTCCTGTCTCCCAAAATTCTGTTTTCCATTCTTGAGTTCAGAGTAGAGTAACCGGTTTGGGAGACAGTGATCAGGCATTCGGACAACATGACCGGTTCAGTGGAGTTGATGGCAGAGGAGCATCACTTTGGTGCTGGTGGTCTTTGCTTCTTCCAGCATGCTGACATTTGTCCACCTGTCTTCCCAAGAGATTTGCAGGATTTTTTGGAGGCAGCACTGATGGAATCGTTCCAGGAGTTGTGTATGATGTCTGTAGACAGTCCATGTTTGCAGGTATATAGCAGGGTTGGGAGGATAATGGCTTTATAAACAAGCACTTTGGTCTCCTTACAGATGTCCCGATCCTCAAACACTCTGTGCTTTATTCTGAAGAATGCTGCACTCGCAGAGCTCAGGCAGTGTTGTATTTCAGTGTCAATGTTGATTTTTGTGGAGAGGTGGCTGCCAAGATAGTGGAAATGGTCAACATTTTCTAATGTTACACCATTAAGCTGTATTTCTGGCATTGCATATGGGTTGGTGCCTGCTGGAAGAGCACTTTGGTTTTCTTGAGTTCCAAGGGCACTCCAATAGCTGGGTGGCTTCCTATCTGACCATCCTCTGGAAAACAAACCTGAAGAATGGGATTCAAGAACCCTTCCAGCTGAAACGCACAGTTCTTGTAGGGTTATCCTTAGACAGAGATCCAGGGGTCAGAAGGCAACTAGAGTGGGAAGGTATTATCATAAATTGGTGACTGGTCCATAGGAGGTGGGTAATAGTAGCACTTCTTCCATGTAGCCTACCAAAAAAAGATATCAAATGTTTCACAGCCATTTTACACCCTTTCTTTATGAAAATTCTATGATTCTTTGAAACACATTTTTGCCCTCCCCACCTATTAGGAAAATTATCATCAGACGATATATTTGAAAGATAGCTGTATTTACTATCTAGCTTTCATAACCATAATAGACATGAGAAATGTAATAGCCCTAACAAAACCCAATTTATTCAGTGATATATCTTTATACCTCAGGATCTTGTCCCAAACAGCCTCCAGCTGTTACTGGACTGCAATTCCAACCAAAATGCAATTCCAACCTTCAAGGCAATGGAATCAGCCTACAATAATACCCTCTCTAATATTGTTTGCTTCAGTCACCGACAATGCTTTTTTTCTCGCCATTCTTCTCTCTTCCTTCCTCCAAATGTATTCACAGGAGTTCCGCCCAAAGACTCGAGCTTCTTGATTAATCTCCTCATGATCCATCACTACAAGCGTGGAGCATGGTATCCAAGAGGGGGATCGAGTGAAATTCCTTTCCACATGATACCCGTCATTGAGCAATCAGGAGGTGCTGTGCTAACCAGGGCCCGTGTGCTTCAAATCTTACTCTCTGAAAGTGGCACTGCAATCGGTGAGTCTCAAGAGAAATGCAGAAGTGAGATTTAGAAGAGATGGAGCTCTAGAACAAAAGCCTTATCACACGACACTGTTATCATGAGGCTGTTATCATCAGGCTATTTTTCCACTGTCTCTTGTGGAGTCTGGGATTTGTAGTCCAATAACGCTCAAGAGCTCTTTGGCTGATGATTCTAAATGTCCCTCCCTAAACTGCAAATCCCAGCAATCCATAAGATGTTGCCATAGCAGTTAAAGAGAGATAATATTACAATGTACAGTAATAGGGCCCCATATAGAAGATGGGACTAGGATGGTAGCTAATGAGGGAATGGAGAAGAATGCTTTATCATGCCCCAGGCCTTCTTAAGCATAGAGTTGGTTGACACATATGTCCCTTGATCAGCAGCACATCCCTGATTGAAGTAATTTATATAGAAGTTTGTGACATTGGTCAGGGGCGGCTCAACCCATTATGCAAAGTAAGCATTTGCAGTATAGTTGATTTTGCCCAGGGGCGCTCTTGAGGCACTCTTGGGGGAAAATAGACCTTGACATATGTGAGTTGTAGTTACTGGGATGTATAGTTCACCTACAATCAAAGAGCATCCTGAACTCCACCAATGATGGAATTTAACCAAATATGGCACACAGATCTCCCACGACGAACAGAAAACATATATCAGTGATTAGTTGGGGGGCGGGGTGGCAAAATACTGTTTGCTTACCATTGAAAATTACCTAGGGCCGCCTCTGACATTGGTACTTCTTGATAGTGTGTGTGCAGTGGTTAGAAATTCTGATTAAGGAGGAAAGACACCAATGGCTCCGAGAAACAAACTAAAATCTTCATGATAGGAATTCCTTTCTAAGGATTTATCTACAGTGCAGAATTAATGCAGCTTGGCACCATTTTACTACCAAATTTCAATGCTATGGAATCATGGGAGCTTTTTTTTTACTAGGTTTTTAGTGTTTTCTGCCAAAGAGTACTGGTGCATCAACAAGCTACACATTCCAGGATTCCGTAAAATTGAGCCATGGAAGTTAAAGTGGTGCCAAACATCAATAAGTCTACAGTATAGATCAGGCATAGGCAAACTAAGGCCCGGGGGCCCAGGGAGCTTACCTCAGGCTCCCCTCATTTTCCCTGTCCTTATGCAGAAAGGATGGGGGAGGAAGGCAAGCAGGAACTGAGAGCCCTCTGAAGCACTCTAAACCATAGCGTGTCTCACCCTCCTTCATGTATAAGGACAGTGCAAATGGTTCTGTTCTTATGCCAGAAGGATGGCTCAAGGAAGGCACGCAGTGGCTGAGAGCTCTCCAGAGTGTTCTTGGACGTCACCTGTTTTGCCTGCCTCCTGGCATAATGCCAAGAGGACAGCTCGAAGATCAAAGGAGGAGTATTGCGGAGGACGACCAGGGCAATTGCCGCATTTCTCATTTTTTTCCCCAGCATAAGGATAGGGTAAGCAGCCCTGTCTTTATACCAGGAGGACAACCTGAGGGTGACCCGGGCACTGCCCCACCCCCTCCTGGCCCCACCCTCAACCAGGCCCTCTCCTTCCCAGGCCCGTCCCACCCAGCCTGTGCCCAGCCTTCCCGGCCCACAATGTGGCCCCAAGGAAAAAAAGTTTGCCCATGCCTGGTATAGATGTTTCCTAAAACAGGAAAGTTACTCAAGGTGATAATGTAATCCAGCACCATTCTAAGGAAATGCTGAGAGAGGTCTAATGTGGAGAGGTGGAAAAACATGCCTAGGAGTTTATATCACAGAGGAATCAGCTAAGATAGACTTAGTGAGAGGACACTTTGAGCATTCAAACTATCTAACCCTATTACTGCTGCCTGCTCTAAGATATTCTTGACCCTTTGGTGCTAAATGTTGTTGCTAAGCATTTAACCTTTTCCAGGAGTGAGTGTTCAGAAAGGACAGAATGGAGAGGTGAAAGTTTATGCTCCTTTGGTGATCTCAGATGCTGGCATTTACAATACCTTGGAGAAAATGCTGCCTCCTCAGATCAGAAGCAAACCAGGTAAGTCTCACGTTATGTTTTTCTTCTGCAAAGGAAATCAGTATTCTTTAAATCACACAGGCAAAAAGGAATTGTTGGAATTTCCATTCCTGAAGCTAAACAGGACTGGATCTGGTCAGTACCAGAAATAGTGTCTTTTGCTCTTTCTCGGGGGGCTACTCTGTGCCGCAAGTTCTGTTCTCTCAGTGTTTCTTTTCTTGCCAAAAAACAGGTTGAGTTCAGACCTCTGGGGAGTATTTCCTTTTTCTTAGTGGTGGAGAATGACTTCTTTGGGTGCATTCACACTGTTGAATTAATGTCGTTTGACACTACTTTAACAGTCATGGCTCAGTTATATGGAATCATGGAAGTTGTGGTCTTTAGCCTTCTTTATTTGTCAAAAAATGCTTGTGCTTCACCAAGCTACCAATCCTAAAAGTTGGACATTGTGGCTTGTTTGTGAGAACCCATGGTGTAAAGATGGGCATGATGTGGAGTTGGGGAGGGGGGTGTAATTTGTGTTCAGATGGGTTTCCAGTTCATCTCAGTGCTATGTTTCTGTCATTCACATAGAGATTCAGTCCCAACTTAGTATGATCAGGCCTGGGATGGGCTCATTCCTAGTCTTTGTGGGTCTTCGAGGGAGCAAAGAAGAACTTGGTCTCAAGTCTACCAACTACTGGATTTACCAACACAGTAATCTAGACAGTCTGTAAGTAAGATGTTTCCCTAAACCCAAGAGACTAATTTTCCATGTTGTTTTGCTTTGTGACACTTCTTTTGGGGTGTTGTGCTGACAGCAGGAATCAGAGAAAGGCAAGAACAGCAATGACAAGAGAGAATAAGAAGAAGAAAAAGAGAGGACATACAGTAGAGTCTCGCTTATCCATCCTTCGCACATCCAGCATTCAGTATTATCCAACTCAATTTGCCTTCCACCCAGATCCACAGCTGTTTCAATACATTGTGAGATTTTGGTGCTAAATTTGTAAATACAGTAATTACTGCATAACATCACCATGTATTGAACTGCTTTTTCTGTCGATTTGTTGTAAAACATGTTTTGGAGCTTAATTTGTAAAATCATAACATAATTTGACATTTAATATGCTTTTCCTTAATGCTGCCTTATTATCCAACATTTTTGCTTATCCAACATTCTTCCAACCCATTTATGTTGGATAAGCAAGACTCTACTGTATTGAAAACAGGAGCTGCTACAGAGATTCAGATTAGCTAGGAATTCTTAAAAGTACTTTTCTATCTCTATACTGCCTGATTAGATCTACTGCCACAATCAGAAAGAAAAAGGGAGTCTGAGTGAGTGGATGGGAAGGATTTTTGTCAAAACGCCAAGGTGCAATATCTGAATTGGCCAGTTGGGTGAACCACAGAACATTTTCCTGTGTTTTTCAATGGTAGAAGAATAACAATAACTTGTTGCAGTAATGGTGACGAGTAGCAACCTGGGTATTCAGGGTAATGATTCAGGTAACTAGTTCCTCCTAAAAAGGAGAACTCACTTGACCATCCAAGTTGTAGTTGTTTTTTCTAAGCTCCTCCTCATTTAGGATGGGATGTTTGCAAGATTTCGATATCATGTCATGTGTGTCTGACACAACTGTCTTTTCCATGAAGGGATCTTTTACAACAAGAACAGGATTTTCTTCTTGTATTACACCACAGCCATGCATTATGGGTTGTCAATCATAATCCTCCACATTCACTTCAGGGTGCTTCCATACAGTACCTATAATTCAGGAGAGAGTGGGTTAAAATGTGGGATGGTCAGATGATGTTTGGGTTATTTTGTGTGTGTGTGTGTTTGTGTGTGTCAGGAGAGACATGCTATAATAATAATAATAATCGTCATCGTCATTGTCATCATCATCAAAGTGACTAATTGAAACATTCACACCTAGCTCCAACAGACAAGAGTTCTTTCTCCCACCCGGGACATCCCACAGATATATAAACCCAAATTTCCTAGTTTCCAACAGACCTCACAACCTCTAAGGATGCCTGCCATAGATGCAGGCAAAATGTCAGGAAAGAATGCTTCTAGAACATGGCCATATAGCCCAAAAAACCTACAACAAACCAATAAAACTTTATTTATAACCTACCCTATCTCTCCCTAGGGGCTGGGGGGAGGGGGCTCAGATTGGTTTCCAACCAAAGATGACAAACATTTAATGCCATAATAAACAATTCAAACAAACCAAACCAAATTGAAACAGTAAACAAACACAGCTATCTAGATGTTTAAAATACTTGCTCAATCGCAGCAACAGAGGGAAAACACGATTCAAAAAGGTCCCCCTTTATCCCAGTTCCAGGCAAAAAAAGCGGATTTTCCCATGACTGTGTGGCCCTGCAGTCATGTAAAGTTTGGGATTTCCCTCTTTGCCCCCTGTGGAGACTGCTTCCTGCCCATGCTGGTTTTAAAAAACCCAGAACAGCTGATCAGTTGTTCAGGATCCCATGGAGACATAGCTGATTTCAAGAGAGAAGAAGCAGAGAGCCATTAGAGGTCTCTGAAGTGTTTATTTGAAACTTTATAATATTAAATAAATCATAAATAAGCAATTGGGGAAAGAAGGAAATTCAGCAGCATTTTTTTTAAAAAAAAACATTCCTGCCATTATGTGTTGATGCTTATTTGCGCACATAGGAATCTCTCCGTATTTGTATTAGGGTATTCGCATGTGCGCATATAAGCATCAGTGCATAATTGATTGATTAAAAAAAAGTAAACTTCTCCTATCAGCCCTCAATTTTATCCCAATACACAGAAGGGCTGTGAGGACAGCGTGGGAAGAAAGCCTAGGACTGGTAGGTCTGTGTGGGGAACTGCTCTGAGGTTTATCCCACATATTAAGACCATGCTCTAACACTATCTGGAAGCACCCTCGAATATTTCTGCAAGGTCTACTCAGGGATAAGTATTCTTTTTTTCCCTCCCTCCTCTGTTCATTTTATACCAGTGGTTCTCAACCTGTGGTCCCCAGATGTTTTGGCTTTCACTTCCCAGAAATCCTAACAGCTGGGATTTTTGGGAGTTGTAGGCCAAAACACCTGGGGACCCACAGGTTGAGAACCACTGTTTATAAGAGTGGTTTACGTGTCTTTCTATCTCTGTCTCTCTTTCTTATAAGGATATGAGACAAAAGGAAAACAAGAAAACCTGGGTACATGTTCTTAATGTTATGAGGTACTTATGGTCAAGTGGGGTTAAAGTAAAAGATCAGCACTGAATATCCTCAACTTAGATGGTTCTGCTACAGTTGTGCTCTGTAAAGAAGCTTTCATATTTTCTACTTTTGATTTGCAGGATGACAAAATATTTTGCCCTACCCAGAGAAAAAGTGAGTACCAACCTTCCTATGATGTTCATCACCTTCCCATCAGCCAAGGATCCCACATATGAAGACAGGCACCCTGGTATCATTTTTCTTTACCTATTAGAAAAGAATAAGTTGTAAGGAGGATGTGATAGTCTATTGAAAGATATAAGAGCAGACTCATCAAATCATTTGTTGAATCATGTGTTGAATCAAGGCAAATCCTGCCCCCCCCCCATGGCTCTACTTGAATCAGAACTAACAAAAGGATTTAGACTTATGTGTGTTTGTCAGTGTGTGTGTGTGTGTGTGTGTGTGTGTGAGAGAGAGAGAGCTCGGGAAATTATTTCTTGGAAATTATCTGTCCCATTATTTATCATCATGTTTAGAAAGTCATTTGCCACTGTTACTGATTAGGATATTTGAAAAGGGAACTCTTTGCAAGGCATATTATTTTTATTTCCCTTTTAAACACTTAGGATTAAAGGAAAATTGCATAAAACTGTGAAAAATGACTTTAAATGCTTCAAAGGTGAATTTGCAAAAATGACTACAAAACATTATTGTTTTACCACTTACAAGATTTCATTCCTTCTCTTTCTATTGCTTTTGAAATGTGTTATCGTTTTGCCTTAGGCTTGTTAAATGCATTTTAGAAGGCTTTCATAGCTGGAATCACTGGGGTGTTGAGTGGTTTCTGATGCAAGCAAAATGTCAGGAGAGAATGCTGCTAGAACATAGCCATACAGCTCAGAAGTCACACAACTCAACACTTGTTAATATTACCAAAAGGATTTCCTAACACTCACTATGAAGGACAACAGTTATTAAATTCCAGGCCTGGGTAACAACGGAAAAAATTGTTTCTAAAATCGATTCGTTTTTTGGGGTTTTTTGCGTTTCGATATTTAAAAGAATTCCGAAATTTTTTTTAGATATTTACAAAATTTCGTAAATGGTGAAAAAAATTACAAAACAATAACGAAACAATAACGAATCGATTCGTTAATGGCGGCCGCGATCGCGCAATACGCTAAAAAAACTTCTGAAGCTTCCCTCTCCCTCTGTTGTTGACTGTTGGTGTGATATTATAATTTTTTTTCACTAATTAAACAAAAAACAACTATAAAACTTGCCCCAGACATGCGGAAATAATAACGAAACGACCTCAAACCAATAACAAAACGAATACATAACGAAATGCGAAGCATTTACGAAACGAATTGAAAAATTCGTTTTGTTTTAAAGTTGCTCCAGAATGGTTCGTTATCGCTTCGTTAACAAAAAAAATAACGAATTTTTAACGAATTACGAATTAACGAAACGAAACCGCCCAGCCCTATTAAATTCTTCATGACTTAGGATTTCATTTGGGAAAATGTGTTTGCATCTGTTTTCAAGCAGAAAATGTATTTCTCATCAATTTTTGTCATTGTTTACACAAGGGACAATGCATTTTGTGGAAAATGAATTTGTTTTGGAGCTAAAACACTGTGTCTTTCATAGAAACCTCATTTTATATCTCCTCTATTTTTTCTGCACAGGAATTACATCTTTGGGCAGACTGTGTAATTTTTTTGCAAATTGCTAAAACATAAAGTCTGAATGTTCATACCAAGTTATACTTTCACTCAAGGTGCATCTACACTGTACAATTAATGCAGTTTGACACAATTTTGTGTCAAAAAATTCTGACACAATTGACTCAATGGTATGAAATCATATGTAGTTTTACAAGATTTTTAGTCTTCTTTGCCAAAGAGTACTGGTTCCTCACCAAACTACAAAACACAGGGTTCCATAGCATTGAGCCATGGCAGTTAAAGTGGTGTCAAGCTGTATTAATTCTGCAGTGTAACTGCATCCTGATTCTAAACAAGGGCTGCTCAAGGAATTTATCCAGTCGCCATTTTAGAGCAAACCAATATGATTCACAGTTTCCAGACTAATATCAGAGTAGCAGAGGCATCTTTCACTTCTCAAATATTTTATGATAGTTTTGCGATATAGTTCATTGATCAGAAATGATGCCCAAATCATATAAAAAGCACACTTTGAGGGGGAAAATGTTGTATGCTCATATGTTATGAGACATAAGCCACTGCTATTAAATAATACTTTTGGTATGTGAGTGTATGTGCCTTCAAGTCCCCTGTTAACTTATGGGGACCCCATACATTTAATAAGGTTTCCTTAGTCAATGAATACTTTTGATGGTTCCTTTCTATGAAATATAACTGCCAGCACTTGGTATTTGTTGCCAATCTCCCATGCAAATAATAATCAGAGCAGACCTTGCTTAGCTTCCAAGAACAGATTGGATTCGTTCCCATCTGGGTATTTAGGCCACTTTGTGACTTAAACCCCAGTAGCGGGAGTTTCATAGTACAGAAAAACATACTCAGTCTACTAGCTTATACAAGTCCATTTTGAGTTTGCATATACAGATGAAAACAGGGAATCCTGTGGTAAAGGGACATCAAAGTGTAGTCAAGATGGCAAAAGTTTATAATGAGAAAGAGCATACAAGTGAGTAAAGGCAGTAGTATTTTGCTTTCGCCTACTGGAAAGGGCAAGATTGTGCCTCTAACTTTCCTTTCCATCCAGCAAACTATTCCTGTTCTTTGAACTCAGTCTGCAGCAATGAAAGTAAATTGAGGACAAAGGGGAGGAGAAGAGAAAACTAGGACATTTTAAAAGCAGCTGAAAAGGGGAGGAAACAGAAGAACAATATAGGCAGCCCTTACCCTATCAGGACAATTTGAAGATTATATGTTTGGGTCTCCAGAACATACAGGATTTATCTCACTGCTCCTTATAATTTCCAGTGCTAGTACCCTGCTTAGGGACAATCCTTCAAAGAGAAGGTTTTATGGAGACAGGACTCTCTACTATGCAAATGGAAGCTTCCATGCAGACCTCATCACCACTTTCATGAAATATCAGAAAAAGAGGTTAGTTCTTCCCATCAAGTCCCCACAAGAGAGCCAATGATCTCATGTGCTTATATTCTTACCGTTGCCTGGCCCTACAAGCTTCTTTCACCCTTCAGAGATAATGCGATGAGGTCGTGGGCCTATGTCAAAAGAAATCTTAACCCTCTCTGTGCCTTTTTGAGATATATGTTCTTGTGTGAACTTTGTGATATTCGTCTGTGAACCCTGAATACCTCTCCTTGAGGGAGTGTTCCCTGTAGAGGTAAACATGCCTGTAGAGGTAAACATTAGTTTTCAAAATGCATGCCAAAATTGCACAAATTTTATGTGTATCTGACTGTTCTTCGTATGGAATTGGAATCAGATCACATCTGGTTTTAGATGAGTCCTTGTTAGTACTTGTATTGGAAACCACCAACACATAGCAAGTGTGGTATGCTGTGTTTCAGAGGAAGAAAGTGGAAAATCGCCTCTGAAGTATTTCTTGCCTAAGAAAACTCTAAGTCAAAAAGCAACTTGAAGGCACACACATAGTCACAAGGCATGCCAGTTGCACTACTGGTAGCAAAAAGCAAAAAAAAAAATCAAAACCATCTTCCTCTCCCTCAAATATTAGGCAATAATAGTAAAGGCGGCAGCCTCAAGGAGGCTGAGGTAAAACTACTTCTTAGAAAAGCTTCTCTAGACTCTTCTCTACTGGACAACTACAGGCCAGTCTCCAAACTTCAATTTTTAGGCAATGTATTGGAGTATGTGGTGGATTTGCAACTCCAAGAGTTCCTGGATGAAGCAGACTATTTCAGTGTGGCTTCAGGCCTAGTTGTGGGACAGAGACAGCTTTGGTCACCTTGGTGAATGACCCACGCAGAGAACTGCATGGAAGCTTGGTGTCCCTGGAGGGACAGTCTCAGAAGGTGGTGCTGGGAAACCTTTGTTCACTTGTAGTCAAAGGCTTTCATGGCTGGAATCAATGGGTTGCTGTGAATTTTTTGGGCTGTATGGCCATGTTCCAGTAGCATTTTTTGTTTGACTCCTGGCCACTAGCTTGTGGGGTCCCTCAGGGCTCTGTGCTGTCTCCCATGCTGTTCAATATATACATGAATCCGCTGGGAGAGGTCATCCAGTGTTTTGAAGTATGGTGCCATCTATACGCAGATGACACCCAACTCTATCACACCTTTTCACCTAATTCCAAGGAAGTGGTTCCTGTGCTAAATTGATACCTGGCAGCTGTAATAGACTAGATGAAGGCAAACAAATTGAAGCTTGTTCCAGATAATACAGAGGTGCACCTAGTCAGTCTTAAGACAGATCTGGGAATAAGGATTCTACCTGTGTTTGATGGGGTCACATTCCTCCTGAAAACAGAGGTTCACAGTTTGGAGGGCCTCCTGGATTCAACTCAGAACCTGAAGGCCCAGGTATCATCAGTGACCAGTAGTGCTTTTGCACAGTTAAAGCTAGTGCACCAACTGCACCCATTCCTGGAGAAGTCAGATCTGGCCATGGTGGTACATGCCTTGGTTACTTCTCAGTTGGACTACTGTAATGCACTCTACATGGGGCTGCCTTTGACAAGTGCTTGGAAATGTCCAAAGAGCAGCAGCCAGACTGCTTACTGGGGCTTGCTACAGGGAATGTACAACTACTCTTCTGCAACAGCGCCACTGGCTGCTAACACATATCTGAGCATAGTTCAAAGTGCTGGTTTTGCCCTACAAAGATCTATATGGCTCCAGTCCAGGTTATCTGAAGGACCATATCTCTTTCTATGAACCTGGGAGACATTTACAATCTACCAGGGAGGGCCTTCTCTTGGTCCCACCACCTGCTCAAGCAAGCTTGGTGGGAACACGGGAGAGGGTTTTTTCGGTGGCTGCTCCCAGGCTGTGGAACTTCCTCCTAAGAGAAACCAGAATGTCCCCATCCCTGCTGAGCTTCCACAAGCAGGTCAAGACTGTCCTCTGTCAACAGGATTTTGGGGAAGGGTAAAGGGAGGCTCTGATGAGGGTGGGTAGGATTGGGGGGATGTGAGTTTTAAAGGTCATGTTAAGTGTATTTATTGTATTTAATTCTGTTTTTACCACACTGTTACTATTTAATTGTATTTCTAACTTTTGTATTGAACTTTTTAAACTTGTCTAATGTGGGATTGTAAGCCGCCTCAAATCTCCATGGGGAGAAAGGGAAAGATATAAATGAAGTTAATAATAATAATATGTTATCTGATTCTGGACACTAAGCAGGGTTAGCATTTGGATGAGAGGCCACCAATGAAAACCAGGTACTCTAGGTTATATTTCAAAGGAAGAAACTGGAAAAACCAGCTCTGAGGAAACTTTTACTAAGAAAACCCTTTGAAATTTATGGGGTCACCATAAACTGACAGGCCACTCGAAGGCTCATGCATACACATACAGTGGGAGAAGGAGACAACTCCTGCTGTTTTTAGTGTAAACCTTTCTAATTCCTACAACATGTAAGCTTTTAATACTAATCACTCACATTTGCCATCACTTATAGGACACTCTTGCATGACCATTCTCACCATGGCCCACTATGAGTGGTTTCAGGAGTGGTCTGAATGTCGTGTGAAGAACAGAGGAGCCGATTATGATGCCCTGAAGATGGAGATTGCCCAGAACCTCTTAGACTTGGCTTTGGCAAAGTTTCCCCAGCTCAGAGACAAGGTAAGGACTTGGTAGGGACTTTAAAATAAATAGCAGAGCTTAGACAGACACAACATCTCTAAAGGCTCTGCTTCTGGGCAGAAAAGTTTAGGGGGTACTATTTTATAGAAGAAATGCTTCTGTTTGAAGTCCTTCTCAAAATGGCATTACAAAAGCACTTGTAAGAGAGGATAGCTTTCAATGGAATTCTGCATCCTCTAAAGTCAACCACCCTACCAATTGTATTATCTTTGGTGACTGTGCTCAGAAACAAAAGGCAATCTTGTCACTATACTTCATACTTCTGTGTTCCTTTATAGGTAGACTTCATGGAAGCTGCTTCCCCTCTCAGCAACCAACACTATCTAGCTGCTCCTGTGGGTGAAATGTATGGTGCGGAGCACAATACAGATCGGTTCGAACCACAGGTTGTGGCTGCTATGAGAGCACAGACTCCCATTCCAAATCTCTACTTGACAGGTCAGTGGTTTCTTTTGACACACCCACATACGGTTTCTTTTGACACACCTACATACTTTAAAAAAAAGATGGAGGCAAGTAGGTAAGGAGAAACTATGCATCTGGTCCCTTGCTCACTTTCAATCTCTCACTGTCAAGTTTGACAATATGCTTAGCCTGATTTTAGAAGTAGCGGTCTCTCAATTGGTGAAAGACGTCTTGTGTGCCATAGCACATGTTTCTCCTCTTTGCTTTATGATTGGTTATTGGGAAGAAAACAGAGGTGAAGTAAATGGATTAGAAATATTCCTTGTATCATGAAGTTTAACACTCATTGTGAATAGTAAAAAAGTCAAAAATATGGAAGACTTCCAAAGGTCACCAAAACGGTATCTGTGTCTGAACACCGTCTGGAGCTTGCTCTGAGGTCTACCTTTTTGTCTCTGCAATCTAGGTCAAGATGTCTTCTGCTGTGGCCTTGCAGGGGCCTTACATGGAGGCCTGATTTGTGCCTCAGCTATACTTCGACGCATTGTTTACATAGACCTGCTGCTACTGAAGAAGAAACTAAAGAAACAAGATCAGAAGAAAGGGGACTAGTCCTGCCAGCCACTGTCACTCTCTCAGAATCAAAGCTGTAGTAGGATTGCTGAATCAGGCCAAAAATCCAACTGGTTCAGCATCCAGTCAAACAATAGGTGAGCCGATGTCCTCCATAGATCCAATAGCAAACCAAGAGGAGAGCAACAAGTTCCTCTTCTGATTGTTTCCCAATACCTAGCATTTAGCAGAAGATGGTTGCCTCTATCTTGGACATAGTGTGTGGTAGGAATGTAACTTCCTAAACATTTTTAAACAATTTTTCAAACCTTTTTTAAATTTTTCAAACCTTTTCAATTTTTCTCCTTGTCAAAACCTGCAGTTTTTAAAGATTGTTTACAAGTCAAGTTTTATTCTGCTCCAAAATTAAAATGAAATAAGATTTTAGAATGCACGTGGATTTTTTCCACGGGAAACATTTTATGTACAGAAAACAAGGTACTGGCATGGAAAAGAGAATTTTCTCCACAGGAAAAAAAAATTGCAAAAGTAACATTTCTGTGCGGAAAATGCTCTTTTCTATGCAGGGAAGCTTGCTTCAATGGAAAAATAGTATTTTTGGCACAGAAAAACTTTTTTTATGTCAAAAGATAAATTTCCTTCCTGCAAAGGTTATTGATTGGATAAGAATCTCCTTGTTTATTTTTCCCAAAATTCAAGGCAATTATTTTTTTCAATATTTTTTGAATTTTTCTTATCATTAGTATGTAGTCATTATGTGAGTGAGTCATCATTGCTAGTCATGGAAAGAGACCTTCTGTGACTTCGTCTAATAATCTCTTAAAGTCATCTAAGTTGGTGCCATTATCTCATTATCTTGGTGCAGAAATGTTCCATAGTTTAGCTGTGCAGCTCTGTCAACCAAGCTGCTGGAAGTTGACAGCAGTGACACTGGTGAGAAAAAAGAAAAGAAAAACAAAGACATTTCCTTTCCACAATGTGGGGAGAAAACAGCCTGCCCTCCTTCCTGGCAGGGCTTTATGGTGCTAGAGGAGGCTGTTCCTATAACAGGGAGAGCTACCATTGGTGCTGTGGGGTTTCCCAAGCAATAATCAGGTCTGCAAAATCAGCAGCCTTTAGCAAATCCCAGTAGCACCAGTACAGCTCCAAAGATAGTGGTACAGCCCTCAATTCTGGAGTAGAGTCCATTGCTGACCTGCTCTTAGCAAAATACACATAGACTACAACCTCTATATAGGCACAGGAATGTTGCTAGATACCCATTTATTTGGATACTCAGTGCCATTTCTTTTGTCTGTTGCAAAACTAGGTTGCAGAATAGTTATCTGCTGGTGTCCTTTCTGGAAAACTTGGCATTCTTGCAGTGGCATAGCTATAATTGGTTTTGCCAGAGTAGGACTCCAGGTTACTAGCCAACATGGGCTTTTTATTTTGTATCAAAAGCATAGCATAAATTAGTATAAAACTGATAAAAATAGAAGGAGCGCAAGCAGCTAAATATATTTTGACCAAAAATGGGCAACAGCAATGGCATTGCCTGTAGCCTCCAACAATTCTTTCTCTGTACATGAGGCAGGGCATAGTGGACAAGCATACAGATGTGATGTTGTTTGTTCTGCTCCACAGTCACACAAAGTGTGGGATTCTTTTAGGTAGTGCCATTTTGCCAGGTTGTCTTTTGATCTGCCCACTCCATTTCTGAGTCTGTTCAGGGACTTCCAAGTTCCCCATTCTTGGTTTGCCCCTGGAGGAAGACCCTTGTGGAGTGCCATCCAGTTGGGATTTCCTGGTTTAGCTGCCCAGAGGGATACCCTTGCTGTTGCTGGGGGGACACAAAGAGGAGTGGTAGTTCTCATAAAGCTTTTCCTTGATTTGAGTCTACTGGGAGGAAGATGGTAGCCATGTAGTAGATGGCTTTCACTACATGGCCAACATGGGCTGCCTAAGAGCTTCTGCCAGGGTTGACAATATTAGGCTAGCTTGACAAAAGATGTGATTCACTGTCAGGCAGCTATCTGTGCTCGGTGCTCCTATTTAATGTGTTACTTCCAAGTTCTGGGAAAATTAAAGTGGTAGCCTATAATGGCCTATAATTAAGTCTTTCTACCTCTATCAGATTAATCTGAAAAGGCGGGGGGCGTAGGAGGTCCACTTGTCAGGCGCTCTCTAATGTGGAGCTACCCATTTTCCTGGGTTCTCATATTCTATCATTGTAGAAGAAGAGGGTGGTCAGGTGTTCTTTTGATTTCCCCAGGACTTTGAGAGAGAGATTCTATGCACTGTTTTGATCTGATGACTCAATCTGTTTGTTTTCCCCACTCTCCACTGTTCTGTTCTATAGGCTATGCAGTGATAGGCGATAGTGTTTGGTAGTTTCTATGACAGTGAAGTAATATATCCACTCCAACCCCAGTCTGAACTTTTGTCTGAAATGAGTTCGGCACCTTGGATAGCTCTGTTGAAATTTGGATGAATTCATAATGCAGATTCACTAGCATCCACTGCTGGTAATGTTTCTAACGTTGTAGCTATGTAAGCCAGTTTAGAAGGTTCCTAAGTTTGCTATCTGAAGAGTGAACTATAAATCTCTTAAATGAACAAATAAATATTTGTATGTATGTATCCATGTATCTATGTATGTTGCATTCTGATAGTTAAAAACTATGGCAATTACAATTGCAAGAACTCTTGGAAGGGAATGTCTTCTTTTACAGATGCGCAACTGAACCTTGAAAATGGAGGCTCACCACTGGGCACATGATTGCTTCCTATGGGACTTGAACTCTGGCCTTGAAACCTTGCTGGACCATGAATTAGATTCCTTTTAGTTCTTTTGATTTGTTGCTGTTTTCCTAAACAGGTCTGAAATCCACCTCCACTTCTTGAGTATCTCATTTATAAAAGAGGTGAACAATTCAAAGACATTCTAGATGTCATGGTTCAAGCAGTTCTAATGGATCTCAGGATCATTGTAAATTTTGATGTTCCTTCTAGATTAAAATATTTGTAATTTTGCTGTTTTAATGTGTAGACAGCCTATTATATTTGTGGGTTACACTTTTCCAGATGTGATTTGATGTAAACATCTCTAGAAATCTCTAGTTTTCCAGTGTAAGTTTATAGTCATCTTCTAGCATAAGTTGACCAGAGTCGAGCTGAAGGAGTTAGAGATTTGTAGAGAGATGTTCTCTCTCGTATAAAATAGCATTTAAAAATGTGTGATTTTCCCACTTTGCCGGGGGGGGGTGGGGGGTGGGTGGGTCCCATGTCTCCAACTCCAGCAAATGTGGAGGATTGACTATATAAGAAAAATATGTTCCAAGAAGAATTGAATTTAAATCTGGGGTGGTTTTCCAATATAAGTTTATAGTCATCTTCTAGCATAAGTTGACCAGATCGAGCTGAAGGACTTAGGGATTTGTAGAGATGTTCTCTCTGGTATAAAATAGCATTTGGGGTGGTGAATGTGCAGCTTTCTAGATGTTTGGCTGCAGTTCCCAAAGTTGGATAACATTTCCAAAATATTTCATGATTGCTGCCTTCAGAGGTTGCTGCCTTCAGAGATGGATGACCAGAAGGCCATCTTAACATTTTTGCTGCCTGAAAAACAGTAAATAGCACCCCTCCCAATTGGAGTGCATAGCTCTCAATGCCAGCAGAAAGGCAATCATTGTTGTCTCCGATAGCGCCATCTCATTCTTGGAAGTAAAAAATACAATGATAAGAAAGAAAAGTGTTTGCTACCTTTTCAAGATACAAAATGTAAAAAAGTTATGAACGAGGATTAACACCGAAGTGTAGAGAGACAGCAGCAGTTTTTTTTCTTGCCTGAGGCTACTGGGATGGGCAAGATTTTGTCTCCCTCTCTTCCTCCCACTTTTGCTGAGAGTGCTTTGCATCGCATGCAAGCACTTTTGCATTTTGAACGCAGTTTGAAGCACCCAAGAAAGTTGAAGATGGGTTGCTGTAAGTTTTTTGGGCTGTATGGCCGTGTTCCAGAAGTATTCTCTTCTTATGTTTCACCTGCATCTATGGCAGGCATCCTCAGAAGTTGTGAGGTGTGTTGGAAACCTCACAGCCTCTGAGGATGCCTGCCATAGATGTAGGCAAAATTTCAGGAGAGAATGCTTCTGGAACATGGCCATACAGCTCCCAAATTTACAGCAACCCAGTGATTCTGGCCATAAAAGCCTTACAACAATACAAAGTTGAAGATGATTGTGGAAAATGGGAGGTGGAGAGAGAACCATGGAGATGTCATTAGCAGTTGAGAAAGTAGGACGACAGAAAATAAATTAGGAGTATCCCTGCCAAACTGAAATAGATGAGTTATGAAGAGTACTCGCAGCAGTTGGCTAGCAACTCTGACCATTTTACCTCACTGTCTGATTTTTGTATAAGCAAGCAGATGTGCAACATAAGTTCCATTTGTCATAATAAATATCTTGGCACAAAATTTCCTTTATGACATTAAAAAAATGACTTGCTAACTCAATAGCATCAGCTGAGATCTACAAAGACCTTTGGATCTAGACCTGAAGCAATTAGTAGCAACTGTGTGGAGTCCAAAGAGCAAGAAATTCTGAATGTGATTATAGGAAGCAAAGACCTCAGGGTGTGGTGAATTATGCCCAAGAATGCAGTGCAACATGGAGGAGGTAGGAACAGATTCTTTGGAGGAAGACTGTAGCTCATGATACACATCTGGTTCAATGGTAATATCTCCTGCATGAATCTACCAAGATTTGCTGCTCTCCAGTGTAGACAATTATTGCTCTCAGCCAACGTGATTTATAGTAGGCCTGAATAAGAGCAGTATGTAGACTTTGTGCAACCTGCAAGTAATTTTTAGTACCCCCCTGGATCCTCAAACCCACACACATCAACTTGGAGGTCCTTCCCTGAAGTTGCCAGCAGCACCTTCCAAAATCTTTGGTGGCAACATTGTCTATTTTTATCTCCATTTTAAAATTGATGGAAGAAACATTAACAACCTTAGATATGCAGATGATACCGCAATGATGGCCAAAAGCAAGGAGGAACTGGGGAAAGAAGAAATTGCAAAATCTGGGTTCCAGTTAAACATAAAAAGAAACATGATTATGGCAACAAGACTGATTGATAACTGGCAAATAGAGGGAGAAAACATGGAGTCAGTGACAGACTTTGTATTTCTAGGTGCAAAGATTATTGCAGACGCAGACTGCGGCCAGGAAATCAGAAGATGTTTACTTCTTGGAAGGAGAGCAATCACCAATCTTGGATAAAATAGTGAAGAGTAGAGATTTCACACTGGCAACGAAGATCCGCATAGTAAAAGTAATGGTATTCCCCATAATCACCTACGGATGTGAGAGCAGGACCATAGGAAAGGCCAACTGCTCATTGGAAGGAAGGATAGTATTGGCAAAGTACTTTGGCCACATAATGAGAAGTCAGGACAGCTTAGAGAAGACAATTATGCTGGGGAAAATGGAAGGATGGTAAAAAAAAACATCAAACATCTGGGCATCCGCTGGACAACATCCTTGCAGATGGCCAATTCTCTCACATCAGAAGTGACCTGCAGTTTCTCAAGATGCTCCTGACACAAAAAAATAAGTCTTCATCTTAAATAAGCAATTGATGTATTAGGCATAAATATTGATTGATTTCTTGGCTGATACAAAACATTGGATAAAAGAAGCAGGAGGGTAGAGCTGGCGAGAAATAATAATATTGCAAGAGCTGCATGGGTATGGTGAAGAGAGACACATTTTCTTCCTTATTGTATAAGAGAGGCAGCAAACCATAAACAAACACTTTTCAACAGAACATAGAGTTAATCTAGAATACTGGAGATTGGAAAAGCTGAAGACTCCTGGGTCAAAAAGTTTATTCTTTTCGGTTCTGCAGAATAGGAGTACAGTGCAACCCTCACATCCACATGATAGCAGCATTCCATTTATCATGGAAAAAGAAAACAGTGGATAATGGTGAACCCTGTTGAAATGGAAGACTTCCACTGGACTTTACTATATCATCATACTACTCGGGCTAACATTTCTAGAGAGATATTCTCTCTGGGAATTTCCTAATTCTTCCTTTGTGATTCTATTCAATGGAAATATCACCTGAGGAACTAGGAAATTCCTCCAGAGGACATACATTGTCAGATGCAGGTAGGTGAAACCATAGATTCTGGTTCTTCAGGTATGGGGATTATATTGTATATGGTGTAATGACCATTAGCCTAAATAATTTTTTAAAAAATGGTTTGGCATCATTGTGGAAGAAATGTCTACCAGCAACTATTGCACAGCCCAACAAACTATTTTTTTCTTGATAACTTGGTTTTTAGGCCTGTTCCTGGGTTTATTTGGGACACATTGGATAGACCGCATCAGCTGTAGTTTCTTCAATATGGTTATCATGATTTCTTATGGGTGTGCAAATGAAGATTGCTATATGGCATATGTTTTGTATCTCAAAACATAGGGAAAAAAGTGGTGCCATTTTTGGAATCAGCAGGTCACATATACCCAGAAACAGGTATAATGTTCGAGGCATTAAAATATGCGATGGCCAGTTATTAGCCATTATGATGACTACCATAATAGGATTTTCTATGTGCAGAACTGGTACAGCTCTGGAAACCAGACACTGGACACAAAGGCAGCCCTAGTTCAATGTATTTCAATGCTAGAAGTGAAGAACAAAATAGTACCCTCAGTCCATTCTATGGACAGAATGTGGTTAGACTAATAATTCAATCTGACTTAATCACAGGCAACAGGATAGAGCTTTCTAACACACTTGAAGACAGGAGGCTAACTCAAAAGCCTGAGACAGACTGTGTGATGTGCGTAGCTTTATCTTCTAATAGCAGGAAACAACCCAAAAGATATGGAAAAACCAAAATGTACCTCCGAAACCTTTCAGCATATGTTGCCTAAGATAATTTCCTCACTTTGCCTTATATATGGAACCTTGTACATTGAACATCATCATCATACTGCCTTAGTCCCCCTTTGGGGGAAAGTTAATAATGGTGATAATCACTATGCCCTGCTTATGAGCTTCATAGGCATACGATTGAGAAAGTGACTTCTTTGAACTACAAATCTCAGTATTCCCTTGTCCATGATTATGGGAGTTATAGTCCATCCAAGTAATTTTCCATGCTTTGCTCTTGGAAAGAGAATACTGGATTAGATCACTCTTGATTGAATTGTAGATCAAAGATGCCCTTCTTCCTCAGTAATAGCAGACCACCAAGCTGTAGCAGTGAAGATCTTCAAGAGTTATCTTTGGGTGCTGCTCCAAGAGTTATCTTTGAGGATAGTAGTCATCTATAGGGGGATCCATGGCGATATTATCATAGGCCGGTGGTTGGCCCATGGGAGGTGGGTAAGGGTAGGGCTTCCATGCAGCCTACAGAAAGAAAGACATGAAATGATTCAAGGTGATTTTCGCCATTTTCTGTTTGGAAAACATACTTGTCCTCTCTGGCCATAAGAAACATCCAAGGAAGGTAATAATTAGGAGATATTTTGCAAAGATATTGGAACCTTGCATAAGTGAGCTGAGCTGCAGAAGCCTAACTCAGAGTTAGCTTTGATCCTTTTTGTGTTTTTTTATAC